AAAAAAAAAAAAAAAAAAAAAAACGATACAAAAGATTTCTTAAATGGCATATACTGTAGGGCTACACAGCCCGTTAGACCTTAAGGCAGCAAAATAATTAATTAATCATGCAAAATTAATTGAAAAACATAAAAATGAAAATATATAAAACGGGACATAGGCCTACACGGAGCACAAACTCATACTATCAGTTTCTTAACCTTGATAAAGAAACACTGACAGTTATCCATAATTGTCTTTACCTTTCTTTCTCCTTATTAAATTCTCATTTTCAAAATAGTTTTCAAAAATAACTTTATAGAATGTAGGAATAAAAAATCATCATGATGATATCAATATGTTATTACGGATATATTGCAATCCAAAGATCTTTAACGTGTGCACTTTAACCCTGCTCAGATAAGACGCCTTTTAACAGAAACACACTTTAAGTAGGACAAAGCGTCACAGCCAATCACACACCGATTTAAAGCGCAATCAACAACATGGCGCTAAGTTCGGAGCGGAGGTACGTTCTGGGTCTCGACTTAGGGACAACGACTGTCAAAGCGGCCATTGTTGACTGTGCCACTAACGAGGTAGTGGCGGCGTCTTCTGCGGACACCCAGGCGTCAGTTTCCAGTCGTGACAATGGTCCCCTTGCGAACGAGCAGGACCCGAAGAAGATCATCACGGCCTTACAGTACATGGTGTCACGTCTTCCACGAGATAAGCTGTCTCATGTCCTTAAAATTGGAATATCGGGACAGATGCACGGGGTGATGTTTTGGAAGCGGGGGAAGGCATGGAGCAAGAACCCGTTTGGGAGGTTCGAGGTGGAAAGCACCAGCAACCTTACCACATGGCAGGACTGTCGATGTACCCCTGAATTCTTAGAGACCTTGCCACGGCATGATTCTCACTTAAGACTGTCCACTGGTTATGGGTGTGCTACTATATTCTGGTATAAAAAGAACCACCCTGAGCTTTTAGATAAATATGACTGTGCCGGTACAATCCAAGACTTTTTTGTGGCCACTCTATGTGAACTGTCAAAGCCTGTGATGTCAACACAAAATGCAGCCAGTTGGGGCTACTTCAGCACTATTGCAAATTCATGGAATACAGACATGTAAGTCTGGTATAAAATCTCAAAGTTAAATTTTTCATTTATTTTTATTTTATTTATTTATTTATGTTTTGTTTTGACGGACCAATTGCTTATTATCCTTGCATAATTATTCAAAGAGCTAGGTACTTGGGGGGGGGGGGGATTATATTCCTCCTTGTTACGATCTGAGTTGTTTGGATTGGGGGTTAACCCAGCAGGTTGTAATGTAGTTCACTACCTCTAGGTAGGACAAGATTGGCCATTCACACACACAGTGGCGGATTTAGAGCGGTGGTCAGGGGGGAGGGTCCTGCCCACCCCCCCTTCAATTTCTGGAAAAAAATCACACCAATGGTCCCCTCTTGAAATTAGACTTTTGACTCGCTGAATCATACTTCTTAACAGTACCAAATGGCACTGTTCACCCTCTGAAATACCAAAATTTTTTGCGGCCCTTAAGCGGGTCCAGGGCCCCACACCAAGGAGTGGGAGGGTCGGCTTCACATCTGCAGACTCACCCCCCCCCCCCCCACCTTCAAATAATATTGGATCTACCCTTGCACACACACACTCTTTTAAGAAATTCAAAATAGACCCCACTGTGAACAACCAGAAGAATCATTCCCAAAGAAATGCAATATTGCATTATTACCACAGCCTGTGTAAGTTATCAAGGGTTATATCAGTTCTATATTTATATAACAAATTAGGTTGTTTATATCAGTTCTAAATATAACATCTAGAGTAATGTGAGTTGTGCCTTTTATATCATATAACAGCTGGATGCAATTATATTACTGCTGAGGTATGCACTAAATCATTAATCGTCTTTGTACCTGTAAGTACGTAAACGTCCAGCTGTATCCACTTGATATAAAAAATGCATTTCTATTTACTCAGAAATATTATTATATGTGGTAGTTTTCATATTTCCATTTTTTCTTTTGGTTGAGGGTTTTTCTTGTTAACAAAAGCACTGGGCCCCTTTTCTCTTTTAGAATAATGTCAAACTTGGTCCATCCATACTCAGTATACTGACCTTATACCTTAATGAAGATTTCATTATTTAATGATGAACCTGTTGAGCTGTAATGACTGCAGTGTCAACTGACTTTCAGTGCCCACAAGCTATTTGACCCTTTTTTTTGACAGGGCAAATTCTAGTATTCTTGATTTTATCCAAGCAGAATGAACAATTTTTTTTTTATATTTTTGACATAAAGCACACATATGCTGATTAATTGTGGTATAAAAAAGAAACTCATCCACAGAGGTTGAGTTGAGTAGATTTTTAATTTTTCAGTTCCTACACAAACCTTTGCATTGAAAACTTTCACCATAGGTGTGCTTTAATTCAAAAGTTTGTGTAGGAATTGAAAAGTTCAAAATTTATTTTACTTGATTGACAATACTTCACAGACTAACTTACAGCAGAATCATGCATCCACAGAAGATAATATCAAATAAACTTGGCAATTACTTCTGTAAGTTCTTCAGATAATAATGTTCAGACATTAACATTGTTTCTTCTGTGGCTACCTTGTTTTCTGTATTTAAGTCTTACTGTCTTTTGAATGAACAAATCTGAGATAATATTGCATTATTCCAATTTTCACTTGAGGAAAATAAAAGGAATTTTATTTAAGTGTAAAGGAGGTAACAGAACTGTTTTGAGCAATTATCAGGGCAATTAACATGGATTGAAACCCTCCTTGCACAGCTCTTGTATGTGACACTCTGATATTTAAAGAAAGTTAAGAGTTCAAATCATATTTTATTAGAGCAGTCTAATAAGACTTGTTATCATATATATATATTTCTGATCAATTTGTAGGAATTAGAGATTGGAATAAATTTTTTAATAACTTTTGAATATTTTAGTAAAAATGCAGTTATTTAAGTTGCAAAGAAGAGGTGTCTTTGAGATATGGCTTAGACCCCATTTTCCACAGATTTTAGATGGATCTATCCCTGTAGGGGAGTCTCTCTAGATTACTGTCAGCTTAGCCGGCTTAAGCATCTGTCCCACCTACTAAAAGCTGTAAGGGGGTAATTAACTACCGTACGCGCTTGGCTGACATCAATATAGCGTGAACCCCCAGGGAGTTAGGTCAATCTAGATGGATCGATCTAAATCTATGGGAATGCAGTCTTAGAGAAGATAAGTTTTTATTATCGACTTGAACTTTTCATTCTTTGACCATTCTCTGAATAGACCATAAAACCCTTTGAAGATCCATTTCTCTTTCTTGATAAATGGATCAAAGTGTTTTCATTGAATGTTCTGTTTAGTGCAAAGGCTTTCCTCTGGTGACTCTATCGGACATTGACCATAGTTCTATATGTGACATTGGTGATTTCAGTCAGCTTGTTACCAGGGATAAAATAGTGCCCCACTTGTTGATTGAATTAGTAAAGAAAGTAGGCTGGATGAAAGATGCTTCAACTGAAAGAGAATTATTTCTAGAATCAATGAAAATTTTTGTGCAGTATATCAAAGAGTAATTTCCAAGAAAACGGAGCAATGAAAATGTCATTGATCTTTCTTAGATTGTTCTTGAAGTTATTATCTTGATTGACTGAATGCAATATCGTGTTGAACAGGTTTGTCAATATTTTGAAGGATGATGGGGGTGATTTCATAAATCTATTAAAGGTTTCTTGAGAGACAATGATTATTACATCTTGTGGAAAAAGAAAGATACTAGATTTCTTTAAATACAGTGCTCATATAGTTGAAACGAGAAGGTAAATTATGATGTCAGGTAAGTTAAGGAGAGCAAAAAATAAATCAAAAATAATATGATGAAAGCATAAACAGGGGTGGATCCAGATATATTTTCTGACAGTCTTCCAAATGATCTTTGTTAATCCGTCCTCCAATTTTGACTTCTGACAGAGAAAATTAGATACCTGTCTTCCTGAAGATCCAGAAGATGGTCGCAATCCACCCCTGATAAAGATTTGACCTGTCATATATCTCATCTTTATATGGAACTCCAAAACTTAAGATGCTAAGACTCCAGCTCTCTCTCATAAAATTCTAAATTTTCCAGACTTTCTAGGGCACAGTTTCCAGTTCACATTCTGCCTGAGGTGCGACCACCAGGTTCCATAGCTGGCCACCTATCTTCTGATTGGTATGGTTTGGCTAAGGGGACCCCAGTCAGTGTCGCAATGGGGGACCTACAGTGTTCAATCCTTTCTGGCATACAGCAAGAACATGATGCAGGTAATTTCCTTGTTTGATTTCTAATCCAGTCAGTTCTGAGTAAATATATCTCATTTAGTGAGGAAAAAAAAGATATTTTTCCCACAGAATCACAAGTTTTCAACTCTGAAGATGCATTGTTATTTGAGTATATTAACAGATTTAAAGCTAAGCTCAACCTTTGAATATTGATTTCATACAATTACTACTCAGGAAAAGCACCTAAATCCTTACAAGAAAAATCAATGATTGTTCAAACTCAAGAGATTCATCCGGCCTTTTTTTAGTTGTAAATGAAATGGACTTGGAGACCTTCACAAAGCTTTGTTTAAAGATGAAGGATCAGGCAGTTTCATTATAACAAAATACTAAGAATTACTTTCACAAATGAATACCCGAGGTGTACAAGTTTTCTTTTTTTATATACAGACACTGTTCTGCTATCTATCTTATTTAGGTGTTATTAAATCTGTGTCTTTTGATTTTTTACCTTCAACAGCAGAAGTGGTTATTTTTTTGTTACTGTTTGTCTGTCTGTGCACACCATTACACAAAAAGTAATGACAGATTTTGAAGAAATTTTGAGGATAGGTCCCAAATAGCCCATAGATGATATTATTAAATTTTGGTGATGATCCATCCATTTATTTATGTTAATTTTCAGGATAAGTCACAAATGGGCCAATTTCAAATATTTTCAGGATAGCTCAGAAATAGACAACGGAAGAAGTGATAAGATTTTGGAGATAATCCATTAATATATAGATAAAAAATTAGTTACTTATATGTAGATTTTGATGAAATTTTCTGGATAGGTCACAAATGAACCAAGGAAGAAATGATTATATATTGGTGATTATCCATTAATTTATTAATTGACTAATTGATTAATTAAATTTTCAGAATAGGTCACAAATGTGCTAAGGAAGAAATGATTAGATTTTGATGATGATTTTCAATTTATTAAATTAAGTAATAGTAAAATATTAGTTAATTATTTGCCTTGGTAAAAGTTGCGCTCTCTGAGTGCTTTTCTAGTTATTTTTTTCATAGGTGTTCTTTTTTACTTGTAAATGTCTGTATATTTACCAGATTAGCTGTGTAGTATTTTTATTGAAAATAAAAACTGGCAAATTGTATACTAGTAATTTCAATGGTGAAACATACTGGAAATCAATAAACACTGTAGTCTTTTAGTCTTAGTTTTTGGCTGATAAATTTTACAAGAAACACAAACAAACAAAAAAAATGATGAAATTGACATAATTCATGTATTGCAGTAATATGCCATTTTGCTGCAGAAAGCATATCTTTATCCTCATATCACACTATATACCACTGAGACTCAATTGACTTAGCATTATTGAGCCATCCTGTTGTCTGAGAGAAGTGAAGACATTTCAATGCATTGTTGCGGAGATGAAACAATTTAGGTAAATGATATTGAAGGCAATTTAGATGGATTAAGAGATGCTATTGATCAGCCTGTGGGGAAATTCCATTTTGTTTTGGCTCTGGGTCTTTTCAGAGAGTATCAAGATTCTTGTAGCAAAATTTGAGGAAATGTCATTACTTTGTAATTTATCTAGCAATTAATAGAAGATGTTTTGCAAAGTGATTGATGTTTAAGACAAAGAGGGATTCAAATTGGCTATTGAAATTATTGAAAAACAACAACATTGTATGCTAGTTCTACCATTGTGCCAGTTTCTTGGAAATTGAATAGAAATTACTTTTGTTAATTAAAAAAATTAAAGGACTACTTGTTGGTATTGGAACAGATAAAAGGGTTTAACCATTATTCAACCTTGGCAGCCAACCTTTCCCTAACTTTTATCATCACCTCTGAATAAAATGCAGTTATTTACCCAGGTACATTCAACCACACTGATGCCATTGTTTGTGGTAGATGAATTTCATTGTGATTTTTCCAAAGCCAGTATTGTTGTAGGTTATGCAAGGTTATTCAATTCCCGAGAAAGGGATATGGCACCACCAGACACAATTTCCCTTGCTCTTTACCACATCATAAAACGGAAGAATATCCGTAATGGCTTTGTACATGTTAAATCATTCTTAAAAAATTGAATAATTCAATCGGGCCTCAAGCACCCATGCAGGCCCCTTAATTGATCATCCTGTGGAATTGCCCTGCACAATGCTGGTGCTTGACATTCATGCTTTTTGTCATATGTATTTTATCAAATTATTTTTATGTGCTTTTTACTGGATACAAGTACCTTGTATGAAGGGATAAGGGAATCCATCATGCTTTTCCAAACACAATTCTAATTTTTCTGTGAGCTTTACATGCATATTTGATGTTTTTCATTTTGCCAGGGGTTAACAATTATATTGAGGAATGTTTATGTCAGTTTTAGTGATGAAGATACATGTACTACACTTTTGCATCTATCATTTTGTCTTTTCTTTTATTTTGATGGCACAGAAAACTCAATGCTGGGTTTTTAGCTAACTGCCAGTGGATCATCAAGTTGATTATTTGTAGATGTCTCTGCCTCCTGGCAGTATAGGATTTGTTCATATGTATGTACAGTGAACTGTTTTCACATACTTCATTATGCTGATTGAGTTTCTATTTATAAATGCCAACTCCATTACATTTGTTTAAGGATAGATATTACTGGATTTGTTTGACCAGGGCAAGCTGGTACATGGCTGCCAAGATTCAGTGTGGAATCTGAATGAAAGATCACATTTACATCGCCATGTTTATATGTACTGACAATCATCTTTTTTTTTTTTTTTTTTTTTTTTTTTTTTTTTGTATGTGTGTGTGTGTGTGTGTGTGTGTGTGTGTGATTAAAGTAACTTCATACTTGCAAGGCAGGTGATAAATATCGTAAATGTGATGTCTTATGTAAAACACCTTTGTATAAATTTCCCTAAAAGTGGTTTGCAAAGGAGTGGAGTTTATTTGATTTACTGTAAGAGACAGTATACTGAAATATTAATCCTTTCTTGTACCCATCATATATGGGTATGATGTTTTGTAATGTTGCAGTTTTTTCAATCAAGATGATTTTAAGGAAGGCAATAACTTATATGGTAACATGACTTCTCTGCCAGTTACTGAAAGATTGGAGATAGATTTCAAAGAGCACTAAAATTTATGTGACAACTGGAACTTGAAAGTAGCATAAAGAATACCTTTACATGCTTGATGCAATCTATTCAGGTCGTCAAGCAGCCGGAACCAAAGATAGATACACTGTATAGATTCACAGTGTGTGCTCTTTGCTAAAAGAGGCATTTGCTGAATAGATTGTGTCATGTTTACTTCAAATTGCATGTCTCTGCTTCATGAGATTTTGTAAGATAATGAGAAATTGAGTCGTGAGGCACATGTCAGTGAATTCAAACCTTATTTTATCAAACATTTCACATATTTTCAAATTAAATGCACTTAATAGCTAGAATAAGATATAAAACTAGTACATAAAGTCACGCCATCTGATAGAAATATTAAGTGGTAAAACATTTTCTACTGTTTCAGTTTTAAACATCAGCACTTCTGCCCAGGTGGCATTTGCGATGCCCAAGGGATTCACGCCACCCCCCTGTGACCTGAAATCACCCATCGAGTATTTCCCCTACTTCAGTGACACCTATATTGCAGTGGCTGCCAGTTTGACAGGGGGAAATGTCATGGCGGCTTTTGTGAAGATGCTACAGCAATGGACTCATGAACTGGGTAGGACTAGGTTTTTTTCCTTGTGAAACTAAGTTGATCATTGTCACAATCTCTGTTGGTAAGATTAGTTTATTGCTACATGTACTTTCACATGCTATTATAATCAGTTTATCATTAGCAAAGGTATTGCTTATTTTTACAACAAGATTGAAATAAAGGTATTGAATTCTTACAAAAAGAAACATTTTAATATATTTCTCAAGTTAAAAGGAAAACAAGTGCACAATTCTTTACTCTCTCTCTCTCTCTTTCCCTTTCAAGGTCATGCAGTTCCAGACACCAAAGTGTGGGCTACTCTTTTAGAACAGGGAGAGGAAGAGGAGAGCACCGATTTGGTGATCAGCCCAACAATCTATGGTGAACGCCATATGCCAAATCAGCACGCCACTGTCAGTAATATCAATACCAGCAACTTAAGCCTTGGCAGTGTAACACTGGCATTGTGCCAAGGAGTAGTGACCAATCTGCACACCATGATGCCACGAGATTTTTTACTTGGAGCAGGAGTGAAGAGAATTGTTGGCAGTGGTGCCGCGCTAACCAAAAATAAAGTGATTCAGAGGGAAATTGAGAAACTGTATAGTCTGCCTGTTACTTATGTTCAAGGAACTGATTCTGCCATTGGCGCTGCCATTGCAATGATTTAGTAGAAAAGGAAAAGTATCTTGCATAATGCTTGAAGTGGAACATTTTGACGTGATATGTGAATTTGCAGTCAGTAACATTATTCAGTATTCACAGTATTTGTCAGCAAAAGCTTGTATCCCAAAGAAATTCCCACATCATTCAGTCTGTTAGGCATCTTATGTTGGTGGTCAGATTTTTATTTTTAATTTTTTTTTTCGTTTGTAAAATCAGTAGATGATCATCAGAGGTGATTTCTGTAGATTAAGAACATGAGAAGCACTAGTAAATTATATTGTAGTAGTATGGACAATGGTTAAATGGGATCAGAATTTAGTCAATAATATTGTGATTATGGTAATGGAATGCTTTCAGTATTCTAGTTTGAAATAGCTTTTGGAAACCAGTGATCAAGCTTGACATTATCTAGGTCATTTTGAAAACTGGAGCTGAGCTCTAATATCTTGGTACATTTTTACACATTAGGTGGATAATTATAAACCACACACCAAACTTCAGTGGAAATTATAACAAGGCTTTTGGGATTACATGAATCATATGAGACTGAAAAATGTATGAGAATCTCTGTGAGGTGGGGTTAACATTTCAGCCATAAGGGTGAAACTTTATGTGCTGGGAATGCTGTGCTACCAGTAGAATACAAATCACAAAATGACACAAAAAATGGTGAATATGTGCTTAATTTTATGCACTAACAGTAGATGGTAAATATTTCCCATCATGTCAGTGGATAAATTCTGTCAGCTGCCATTTGCTGCAATATAGCATTACTTAATCTGCCATTATTTCTAACCCTACTCTCTCCCAAATCTCATAAAAATTTCACTTGATTTTATGCCAAATGGTGAGACTTTGGCCTTGGGTGATTCCAAGTGTTTGTATCTCTGTCATTGCCCTCTGCCATTCATTGGAGTTGATTTCTTGTGATACTGCTGCACAGTATTGCCTCTGGCTACAAGGCNCACATCATGATTCAACAACAGCATGTGGTTAACACTCTCATCAGCAACACTTTGCTTAGGATTAATAAAATATTAAAATAAAATCCAGGGATTGTAAAAATAGCAATCCTTCTTTATGAATTCAGACACAATTTGTGCCATAATTATAGATGAGACCTTATTGGTGTGGAATGTTAACTATCCTGCTTGAAGGTGTAATGAACGTCTGTGACAGTCTAGAAAAAGTATATCACCCAGAAGCTACAAGATAATTAATTCTGGCATTCTTCCTGTGCAAAGTAAAATAATGTCTAAGCACATTTTAGAACTAGTTTTCTTCCTGAGAGAACTTTTCATCTCTGTCAACAACACATTTGTTTTGTTTTATGAACACTAATATTGCAGTAATATAAAAATATCTCTACTTAATTTTATCTTTACATTGTGATAACCTTTTTATTTAGTACATACACTACATTGGACATTTTTTTTATTCCATTTAGGGAAATCTATCACCCTGAGTTTCATATACCTCTATAGTCGGACACTTTAACCAGCACCCTGAAAACTCCAGATGTCTTTTTGAATATACCTCTATTCAAACCAACACCCCTGTATACTTAAATGATGATGTATATGCTGGGTATAGGAGTTTGCCAATTGTCACTTATACTACAATCTATGATGCAATATTGTGTCCTAGCTACAATATAAAGGGTGTTAATTTTCCAAATGATTTTGTGATGTACACTTGTGTATTTGGGTAAGCTAAGTGATTGATTAAACATTAGCTACCTAAATATGCCTTTTTCTTTTTGAAATAAAGCAAAGTGAATTACATTGTTTGTATTATCTGCTTAATATGTTTGTGAATGAGCAAAATATGTATTGAAAGTTTTCTTTATTTTAGTGTTTTTTTATTGTGTGTGTGTGCGTAAAATGAATGCCTTCATCAGATACATATCTGTATCTGTGTACTATTAATACTCTGGTTAGCCAAGTATAAAAGAGTAACTTATGGTTTTAAACTATTCCTCTCTGCAATGACCACAGAGATATTTATTTGTGCACATTACTTTACTCCCCAGCAAGAATTCTTGCACGGATTTTCAGTAATGACATTATTGCCCAGCTGGCCATAGTTAACCATTATTTTGTGGTCTTCAACATCATGGATCACTTTAAATACAACAGAATGTGGTCTCCCATGTTCTACAGGGATATTCAACTTGGAAGCACTTAGTTTACCAGTATGTAAGCTAGATTAATGTACAGTAAACATGGATGTACATTGTACGTGTTTAAACAGATACAGGCATCTAAACCACGGTAGATGTTTGGCCACAGTTTTTAGTTGAATTATTGATTAGCTCCAGATTTTTTATCACGAGAAAGCATTTAGATTTTTTGTCCCACTTTAACCACCATTAATACGTCAATTTCTGTATGGGTACTTCCTTCACATTAAACTGATTATAGCCTTTTTGTTTTGAATTTTTAATGATTCATTTATTTATTTATTGTCAGTAATTTCTTTAAAATTCCTACTTGATAGACTTATGTATGTTTAAACAAGAAGCCCACAAAGATGTTTTCCCTGTGAATTCAATTTTTGAACACCTGGCAACAAATTAAGTCCCCCTCCCCCTTTTTTTGCTTGGCTTTTCATTTCTGTAGATATTTCCCATATGGCAACTGTTAATTCTGTGTTTGGAAGCATTTCGAAAATTAACCCAAGCTCTGGTGTGCCAGCTGTTGGTTGCACTGCTGAGAATCAAACACAGAATGTGTTTATGACCTATGGATAAACGTTTTTTGATAAGAACAAAAAATTCTGCTACATCTTGAGAGAATGTAATTTTTTTTGTCTCAATTACTGACCACTATCAACTTGAGATGCATTTCTGATTTATCATATGCAGCAAGGTATTTTTTTTAAATACAGGTCATAAAATTCAGTCAGTTGATAGACTAAATTCCCAATTGTGTTTGTAAAATTTGAAGAAAAAAATGGCTTAAATGCACCAAATTTTTCCAAAAAAAAAAAAAAAAAAAAAATCTTTGATATTATACCTGGATGAGATTAAATTTATTGTTGGTTATGTCATTTCAATATCTTGGTGACATCCAAAACCACTCTAAATGTTAGTCCAAACCCTTATATCCATACCCAATTTATTATCAGAATGAAAAGATATTGATTATGGCATCACATGCCTGGATTCATTCTGAACACCTTTCAGCACTCCTTAGTTTTCATTTGTTACAAACCATTCAGCTGAACAATTTGGTGGAGGCAATAAAGTAAGTATTCACATACAGATGGATTCAGTGCAAAAGTTCAAACAAACTTTACCCTGTTTTTGCGTCTTCCTTAAATGATTTCAAAATAATCCAATGTCTCTCCACAGAGAGTTGCAAAACACCATGTGCCTGATAAACGTGGATGTAAAATTGCTTCTTTTTTTTTTAGGTTAGAATGAAAATAGTGTTAACTTACTTAAGGCAGTAACAAATGCAGCAGAGCACCACATTCCTTCTTGATGATGATGGCACACATAATTAACATTTCATGCATTGTACAAAGAATAAGGAAAAGTCAGTGTTTTTGAATGTTTTGTTGCACTGATACCAAAAATGATAACACATAAGTGACCATTCAGCTTCACCAAAAAATAAATAAATAAATAAATAAATAAATAAATAAATAAATAAATAAATAAATTTAAAAAAAATAATTATAACAATTCTTTAGATAAGCATAAACTTCATTGACTTTTCTCAATGGACAATGGAACGTAAAAGTATCCTTAAGTGCTTGCCAGATAATGGCAATAATTTTTATTATTAACATATAATATTACTGAAGCTTTGAAACAAATATCAAAAATTCTAAATCACAATTTTTCCAAACCTGATACCCACATCCTGGAAACATACAGGTGAGAATGCAATGCACTTAGTAGTTGAAAAAATAGACACTGAAATTATCACACTTCCAAAAGCTTTCAAATTACATAACCAATCTAAATAAAATATGTCATTTTAATGCCATGAAAGAGAAAACCTGAAACGTATGATTTCCTCTCCTTCAATCATGTATGTATATAATTCTTTCCTAGAAGTTCTCCCCACCATGTATATCACAAAAGTCTCTCTTTAACATTCAATTCATTAAAAACACAACATGAATACAAAAGCAATGAATGACATTTAAATTCAATACATAAAAGAATACGTATATGCAAGATCTTGATCTGCTCTACATGTAGCGTGAAAAGTCACAGGTTCATACATATCAAACATGCGAGCAGGAGTGCTAATGCACGCATTTTCATGTTAGTCTGCACGAAATGTTTCCTGCCAAATGTTCCATTGGCATCTCATGAATTTACTCTTCTCATCCACAAAATAGAGAAACAACAATGTTGCCTTGGGCTGGCTTCCATTACACTGTTATACCATTGCTTTTCCCTTGAGGCTGGAAGAAAAAAAACAGACAACAGCTGGATTACTTAGCTAAATGGATTCCTTTTACCATAGCAAGTCAATACACCAAGTTCATTTTCTTAATTGCCACTGTGACAACTTTTCACAGACTCTACATTTATCCTTATTATCTCAGACCAAGCAATAACCATACATTGGCCAATTTGTTTACTTCATAACACATATTGATTTGAGTGGTGCTTCAATGCAGAGTATGCAGCACCTTATTGTGAGCTTGGCCTCCAGGCTCTCAAAAAACTTCATCAGGCTTTCATATTGGAAATCAGGCAATGTTCTTTCTTTGTCAGGAATCATTTGAGTTTTGTATGCTATTGGACAAATGTAATCTTTAGATTACTGAGCAAACCAAGCATGCAGCCTGTCTTAAAAGTAATAGATTGAATTGAAAATGTGCACTCACGATTTTAATAACTCTTCCCTCAGATATGGTATTTTTAATTAAATGGAGCATGCAAGATATGAGGCAATAAAAGAAATACACTCACAGCCTCCCTATCTCAGTTATATTAGCTTACACAACTCCTCAAATCCCAAAAGGTAAAGAATGAGAATGAATTCCATGAATAACACATTAAAAGATTTTCCTGACAAAAATCATAATTTCATCTTTATGCCAATCTTTTCATGCCCATCTATTCAAAAGAATAAATGTGCAATGACGGGATGGTTAACACTCAGGTGACTAAGAACCTCACTGAGCGTACCAAATTAAAAAAAAAAAAAACTCAATGAAGCAGTTATTATCAATAAAAAAAAACAAAAAATAAGAAAGACTTTTATTCTAAATACATTAATCTGTTAAGAAAGCAATTGGTTAAGCAAATTAAAAATGGGGGGATATGACAGATAATCATTTCCCTACAAAAAGTTGAAATAAAAGTGACACAAAAAATGTTCAAATAAATAATAAACAAGCCAAATTTATTTGAGTTCAAACTCTTAATGAGAACTTTATTTTTCTTACCATGATAAATACATGTGAAGGTATCATCTTATGTACTATGTCGTCCATGGTCCCAGGGTACCTGAGCATGTTCAGATGTAGGCGTGGCAGGGGGATATGACCAGGAGCCAGGGGGTACAGGTTATAGTTTAGCTTATACTTGCTGCTGGGGAGGATTCTGAAGTGAAGCTGAAACGAGAATGTTTTTTTGTTTTTTTTATAAATCACAGTTGTACTTTGAGCGTGGTGTTTAAATCATACCATAAAACCTTATTACTTGACAGTCAAGTTCAACTAAGTATCTATACTTTGAATTATGTGTGATCATTGGTAAGCTTATGTTGGTTTTACCCTTTGATGAATCTTTTAAAACCTAATTTCATTAATTTTTTCAGGTAAATATTTAAAAGTTTAAACTACTTATTGCTATATTAGCATAAACCTAAATAATTCCTCTGAAATAATAAGAAAATTAAAATATATATTATTTTTATTTAAATTGAAACAATTGTCAAAAAGAAATAAAAAAGGCACTGTTACATGGTAAATACTGTTAAAAACAACTAAAATGTGCAGATTATAAAATTAATACACTGATGCTGAGTGAAGTTCTTGGAGCATCTCATCAATAATTGAATTTTGCTCTATTGTGTATCTGATGCTGAAGGAGGTGCCTTTATATTGAGATATGAGATAATTCAAGTGGTTTGAAGCTTAAAACTCAATCAAAGCAATGCTAACTGAGGTATCCCTGGATTAACAGACTGAATCAATAACGCGATCTGATGTTAAAGCCTTAACCATATCATTGTTTCCTGATGCTTTTAAGCATTTACTACCTATGATACCTCAGCTGTATCCTGCCTTCAATTATGATCTACCCTACTCTAGCATTCTGATATTTTCTAACTCATGGTGTACTTTCATTTGTTTTTATTGACTTTAAAAAAAAAAAATCAATAAGTGATGTTAATGTGGGAAGTGTGATAAATGTAGCATAGTATGCTCTGTGAGTGGATCCCCTTGTTTGGAGGAGATCTATGACGATTAACAGGACCAGGACCAACTTTTTTACACAGAAACTCTCTAAACATTATTCTACAGGTAAAAGACCAATAACCGGTCAGAGTCTGTCAAACTACTCATGAGCTGAGTATCAAGAAATATATGGAATAGACACAGCCAATTGCACATTATTTGTCAAACATTACTTGCTTAAAGACATGAATGTAACAAATGTGCAGAATCAAAGAGATCATTACACTGAGACGGGAAATAGAGGCAGTTAAATGCACTTAACTTACTCTATCTACCAAAGAGGTCGTTAAATGTACAAATCAATAGCAGATTTAAGTGTCATGAACCAAATCTAACATCAAAAAGTGAATTATGAACCAAATCGAACATCAAAAAGTCAATTAGATATAGATCATGTCTAGGTTTATCACATTTTCTAATGCTGGATATTGATGGTGTGCCATAACTGGACTGCCTATTTTATTTAATTCTCAAAAGGAATCATTTGCCACTTATATCAAACTGAGAGGCCATTATTTGACAAACTGAAAAATGCAACAGATGAAATAAATGGACAAAGAGCTTGGAAATGAAAAACTAAATCTACTAGCCTAAAACAATGACACACCATTTTACAATAAACCTGCTGTGTTCAGGAAATTGCGTTGTTACGGTATCAACTGCATGATCTCTAGACAGACCGACGAGGCAGATGCACAGAGAATATTGATCACCATACAAAAACAGACAGACACATAAATAAAGCCATCTGTATAAGTCACTATACCTGCTTGTGCCCAGACAGCATAAAAAGCTCACTGGAATCCATGGTCACTTCTATCTCCTGTATGTAGCCAGTCTTGTTATAGATTGTATATGTCACAGGTAGAGTATCCCTGACAGAGCCGTTAGAAGGAATGTCTACATCCACGGCCAGCGGGATGTGTTCCAGAGTCACATGGGGCAGGGGGAGGGTGGTGGTCACAGACGGGAGGGTGTCATCACCATGTCTGGAAAATACAGATAAAGGTGAATTTGATACTACTGAAAATATTTAATTGTGTGTTTAGAGTATCATTTTCCTCTTCTGTATAAATTTGGATCTCTACCAACATGCACCGACATAATAATACATAATTAAAAATGTAAAAAATCATTAAGTATAAAATTTGAATCTAACTACAAAATACACTTCAGAGAAAAAAACATTTCAGTTGCATTCCGAATCAAAACCTTCCACAATTGAAGTAAGTGTACCTTACCTCTTCCAGTGTATGACGTAGTTTCCCAGGGGTACAGTGGGCTGTATGACAGGGGGAGCCACCATACAAAGACACTCCCCAGCATGCTCACTGGACTTGAGGGATACTGAAATTACATACACCTTAATCAAAACTTTGCTTTTTATTTCTTTTTAAACAATACAAAAACAGAATTAAATTTAACTTTCCAGTTCACTTTATCAGTCCTTTCTAAAGTTAACAACTGTTAAAAGTATTAGAATTGCATTAGAGTGCAAACGTAATTAAAATAATCAGTATACTGCATTGAAATTAATTTAAACATACTTGATTCCAACTGTGATTGCACATTTTCACCAACATTCTTTATAAATGGTGACTGAAAAAGAAATAAGAGTATTTATAATACTTATAACTATGACATATGTAAAATATATATTAATTTACTTTGTCTTTTTTATTGACAAACTGCATTGGATATTATTCATATATCTTAATTATCAGTTAAACCTTTCCACAGACAAAACAGTAGCCATGATGGGGCATTAAATCTCATTACCACAGACTAATCCAATTAAATTCCTAACTCATCTACTGGGTAGAGATCAATACATCATAACTAGTGTGTTTTGTTTTAATTTCTCCTCACCAGCTTGAGTTCACTGGTCTGTATCTGTATGGGCCACTGGGAGCTATTGTTGATGTCAGTCAGCACCATGAACGGGCAGTCAGCATGGACAGATTCTACAGCCTCAAACTGAAATATGGTCAAAAATATTGTTATAACAGGCCAGTGAGCTGGCTAAACAAGAGCCTACTGGGCCCTGTTTCACAAAGAATCTTAAATCCGTAGTTGACTAGGCGTAAAGTGAAGTGATGTTGGTAACCAAGACCTTAGCCAGGGAACCTGACTTAAATAAGTTTCTTTTGTGTGAAACAGAGGCCTGAAAACTCCCCCATATGTCAATAATAAAGGAGTATTGGAAACTTAGGAGGTATCATTTAATTTAAATCCTTGAAGAAATATAGATTGCACTACAGAATGGCACGTGAGATGCAATTTAACTTTATTATTACTAACAATGGGAACCTTTTTACAATTCCTTTTAATAGAGCAAAGTGTGATAATTGACAAAGTATTAATCCATTCAAAATGCAAAGTCAAGCTATAATTCACCTTCATTGACTTGACTAGAAAAGTGACTTCAAAGGGTGGCACTGCAGGAATAGTTATAGTTTCTTCTTTCTCACAGGTACAAGTTACCATATGACCCGAGACGTCCACATCCACTTCATAAGTAATCTGAAAAAAATCCATAAAAGTATCTGTCATGTTCACAAATGGACCAAACAGTCTAATTCACATCATAATTATCATCACAGGAGCAATTAACACAAAATTAAAATTACTCAACAATTTATATGTATCCTTTATATGTAACTCAAACATGTCAATGGCATGTTATACCAGCTAATTATTAAAGAAAATAAATTAACCAACAACTAAAAGCCATGTAAATTTGTCAAAATCATATTTTTAAAATATATAACAATAAACAAGCTCATGACATTACCCTAATAACTATTGTTCTTGTTCCTGGCTGAAGGCATTTCACAAAAATGCTTTTGTTGCTCTGAAATAGAAGAAAATCTTTATGGATTTTTGAGTTCAAAATTTACTACCTCACATAAATTCTGTGCCTATCCTCTGAAACATCTCATCACTGTATTAAAAGAAACACATGTCAATCAAATATGTATTCTGATTATTGAAACTGGTAACAGACTGGTAATATATAGATACATCAGTTAACACTAAGTGGCTATATCTCACCTCCTCGCCAGGTTCTAATACCCCCTGGTTCCCTAGGGGCACCTGCTCACGTCTGGGCACTACTTTGTCCTTGTACTCAGCATGGTCCACTGTGACATGGGCTGAAATTACAGGAACATCATAACATCAATATATATCTTTTAAATAACCAACTATTTTCATTATATACATATATTTACCATAACAAACTAAGTCATGTTTTTTTTAATCATAAGATTGTGTGAGGAAATGACATAAATTGCGACATGAACAATTGATTAAAATTACAAGGTAAAGCAGAACCAAAATAAATCTGAAATGCTTGATATGGCAATATTACTTGTGTGATCCAAGAAAGTATCCAGTTTTTCTTTCTGTCCTACAGATAAACTGAAACAAGAAAGAGCAGTCATGACTGAGATATACAATATCTTCCAACTATATACTTTACTAATACTGCAGACTTATTAGGAAATCTGTATCTCAAACAACTTCATTGCCAGAATAATGAAAATACCAAAATAACTGTTACAGCCTTCAATTTACAAATGTCTGAGAAAAAGTTATTTAATTCACAACTCACAGATGGTACACAAAAGGTTAAAGGACATGATACCTGTTATTCCTGGTGCTGGAAGTTTCTGTGTTTTTTATATTGAGTTTGATGTGGTAAAATTCCATGATAAGAGCAGGCGAGTGATGCTCTATGTTAACATCCACACAGGCCACCCTTGGGACCAAACTGCATGAAATAGAACAGATATAAGCAACTGCATAAAGAGATTGTACAAAACAAGACTTTTCAACAAAATTTCATATGTTAACTGCCTCTTACCATTTAAAATCACAAAATCTTCAAAGTGACCATGAGCAAAAAGGACCCCACTTTCCCCTCAAAAGGACTGGTTTTACTTCTGGGTATAAATTTCCTCGATAACAGAAGGAATGAGAAATGTTACATACATCTTAATAACAAATATTAAAATGAAGTGTTCAAACACAAGTCTGGATGCAAATGGAAATAAAATTTTATTTACTTTGCAGAGGAATTGGTGTCAATCAAGTCCCACTCCACAGTCTCTAGGTCTTCCTGTGAGCTGATCTTTTTTTTCTTCTTTCCACTGTGTTCTGGTGCAGGCAATATCAGTCCCTCACTGCCGCTGTCACTCCAGTGTAACCAGTGAAGGACAGAGCAACGGGAAGTCTCCGACCCTAGCTCAAGGGCAATGGAAGATATCTGCAAAACAATATATAGTTTGGAAAGACAATAAGACAACATCTCCGTTTGCATTTGCATAGACTGAGCACACTGTGTATTCACACTGATGAAAATATTACAGTTTCAGTTTGATAAACACTGGGTGAAAGGGTTAATTTAGATATAAAAGAAACAGAAAGTAGTTAAATTTCAATACTGAACTTCTTGAAATCATTCAACTGGCAGAAAAATCAACTTTAAAAATGGTGGAGTTAAGTCAGGAACCCAATTACTGAAGAAGTGCATTGATCAAATTAAAAAAAGGAACAAGTTAAGAAAATTAGCTGATAAATCGGATGCGGGATGGGAAGCCATACAACAATATCAATCAGATGAGTTTGCCAACAAGAAGTAAATCTGTGAGGCTCAGATCACAGCAAACAGAAAACTAAGACAGAAACAAAAACTCAGCAATGTCAATCAAAGCAGGGCTTAAGCTTACAATACCAGTTACATCAATATGTTTACTAAGAGTACATCCTCAGCAAATATTCCTACAATACTGTTAGCCCTAGGTTAAAATTACCTGTAGTGTTTTCCCCACATCCTCCTGTCTGGGTAGGTATGTGAAGGTGTACATCTTTGGCTTGCCTGGCACCAGGTACAGGTCTCCTGTCTGTTCCTCTGAGGACTCTCCAGACCCTATACCCTGCCCATCACTGACCACACAGTACTGGTTGTACACCTGGATACAGAACAATACCACAATGAAAGGGGAGTAAAAAGGTTTCAGGAGAGAAGGGGGTTTAAATAGGTTTAAGGAAGAAAGGGAGGCTTAAAATAGGGGGGAGGGGAAGGGGGATGGTGAATAGGGGTGAAATAGGTTTAAAGAAAGAAAGAAAGAAAGAAAGAAAGAAAGAAAGAAAGAAAGAAAGAAAGGGGTTAAAACAGGTTTAAGGAGGAAAGGGTGGGTCTTAATATTTTTATTTCCTATATATAAATGCATGTCTTTTCAATAAAATATCATGGTCAATTCAAATTTAATCTATATGATGAGACTACTCTACCTGGTTGTTTAAAAGCACAGACAACTTTGAAAATCTCATTGGGAATGGGCAGGTAGTTCTGAAATTAGAAAAATTGTCATCAGTACATAAACTGCACTACATGGAGATCAAAGTTTAAGTTGAGATGGTACATAATTACAATCCATTAAAAAGATTATTCATTCTTTTCAAAATTTGAAAAAATATTCTGCAAGACCAAAAAATTTTTAATAACTTACGCTTCAATTAAAAAATAAAGTAAACATAACATTTCACTTCACTTACTTTAAAAATATGTGCAGGACAATGGGAACATCTGCTGTGAATGTCTCCTCACTGAAAGCTGCTTTACACTCCACTAGGTGAAAAGAAAGGAGGTTAGAGGTGAAAAACCTGGTATACACCAACATTTCATAATGCTCTATAAATATATTATTTTGTGAATTATTTGAACTAGATCAAATGTATGACACATTAACTCATCAGCTTATCAATAAATAAAGAAATAGTTAAAACATTTTCAACAAAACAAAGCTGATATTAAAAAATATTTAATAAATCTCTTCTTTGCACAATCTTACCAAATGGAATAATGTTCTGCATCTCCACAGTAAACATGCACTGCTCCTGCTCCTTGGAGGTCTCACACTTCCACAAAGGTTTAGCTTTCTCTACACAGTCAGCATCACAGCCAGGTTCTGGCTCTGGAGGGTCACTCTGAAGATGGCAAACAAAAAGAAGGGTTAACATTGTCATTATGTACAACAAGGAGGTTATGGATGAATTTTGATAAAATTTTCAGGATAGGTCAGAAGTGGGCAACCTTAAAATCAGAATCAAGCAATTAATAATAATGAAAATGCATTGGCAGATATGTGCTCTGAGTGTTTCTTTTTTAGTTATGTTCCAAAAATTCAGCTTTACCAATATATCAAATTTGACATTTTTATTAATAATTTGAAATGTTATATAAATTCCCCCAAACAGGCATGAAAATGGTGTTCCATAAGTATTTTTTAACATTTATACAGAATTTTAATTTGCTTTAAACTTCTCTTCAAAGAGAAAACATAACAGTACTCACTGACATCACCCGAATCAAGTTCATTTGTATTCTAGTTTTCTCTTCTTTTGATAAGGGGATATCTAAGAGTTCATGTCAAGGTCTGATATCATGTATAGAAGGAACAAACAGTAACAATAAGCTTAGAAATGAGTGAGAACAAGGCTAAAAAACAGTTACTGTAATAGTACTCCCAATAATTTCTTACAAACGTACAATAAGTTAGAGAATTTAAGACCAAAGCAAGAACTCTCCAACAAATGAAAAAATATTGAGCTGACTTGGACATAGAATAAAGGCAAATTCCAATTACTGCAACCCCTGAAGAAAAATTATCACACTGAACAGGTTTGGTTCTAGAATGGTTTTTACTTACATGAGAAGTAGTAGCTTAAGAATGAAATTCTCCACTGATGATCAATCTGACAAATGATACTTCACTTTACCAGAAGCCAGTCAATAAAATGGATCTCTTCATTATAACATAATTATTTACATAATATTAGAATAATATAATAGAATGTAAAGCATTAATGATCAGTTATTAGATATCATATACACAAAATGAAAAGGATACATTTGCTGATCAACTCAAGGCATAAAGCAACATATTCTTCCACATTTCCCACCAGGTAGGCGCATCTGAAGGAAGAACAATAAACAACTTATAAGATGGTTGTCTGGGTTTTTTTAAAGCTATTTGGGTATAAATTAATAATGAATACATGGATATGTATAAGCTGACTGACAAATTGGCTCCATCCTGAACATCACTTAAAACTCACAATACAAAATATGTTTGATGCATTCTGCTCTGCAACAGATGTAACAACAGAAATAGCTGAGATGAAAAGACAACATCTTCATTATTTTAAGTGTCACTAGTGATCTTTTAGTTACCATTAAAACTTAATAAAATAATAATAAACAAAGTGTGAGTGAATGCATATCTCTATATTATGACAAAAAGTATCTACTTTTTAATACAAAAGCATAAAGCATACGATCTGAAATAAGGATATCTCACCTGAGTGATGTGATCAAGATATTGGTGAGAAGCGGCCACCAGTGCTCAACACGGTAATCATATGTCACACGACTCAGCAACCTAGGTCAAAAACAATACAATTTTTAACATCATCTCAAATATTTCATCATTAAAGTAGGAGTACAGACAAACAGTCACCATAATTTTTTACTACTAAATATATTTAACAATTGGAATTACTTCACCCAAATGTAGACAAAATTGGTTGAAGTTATAATAATACTTACGACAAAGCATTGGTATATTGTTTAGCATGATAATACTCTTCTCCCATTTGGACCACTGAAAAGAGATTCCATTTTAGCTACAGTATACTTGGATTGATTTTTGTAAGTAAGTTAAGTACTTTTTTTTCCAGAGTACATCAGAAAATATTGTTAAAGACAACACATTTGCAAAAAGCTGTACTTACTGAGATATCTCTTCATTCTTGGGGACTTGTATTTCTTAAACTGTGTGACAGCACTGCTCAATAGGGGAATAATTATCCACTGAAATATCAGAATTGTCGAGTCTAAATGTGATTTTCATTACTTATGTATAGAATTTACTAAGATACAGATTACTGCTTGGTTGGAACATGCAATTCAATATTTCATCTATCAACTTTAAAATAACCTGTACAAAAATCAATTTTAAATTCACCAACCAGGAATAACAAGAAGAGGTAGCAAAACCACCCCCAATATTCTTAACCCACCTCATGGTCCACTGTACTTTCCAGGTACTGCAGAGCAAGGATACCATCCTTTTCCTTGGCTGCATCTGGAGGGTCTATGCCTGGAAGGGAGAGTTCAATCTTTAACAAAATTTCAAAATGTTTCATGTGAGGGGATGGTGTCTAATGAATGGAACTTATAACTATTTTTGGTGTATTGTATTTTTTGCAAAATTACGGATGGGGAGGTCTAGAGTAAAAATTGTGAAGGATGATGTCTAAAGTATAGAACTTTTTTGTAATGTAAAGTATGGGAGTGGGGGGGTCTAGAGTAAAAAAAGAAAATAAATGCAGTAATTAATGCTTACTCTGGTGTCCTTGCCTCCATGGTCTCTGGCCATAGTAATCAAGACTGCTCAAGCCTTCCAATGGGTCAGGGGAAGGGTAGGTGATGTTTGGCTGAAGGAGACAACAAACAACTTAACATATTTTTCAGTGTATAATCGAAAAATGTTTCACTGAAAAATATTCTTTAGTTCACCAACTACTTGAATTCAAATCATGGAAGACACGGGTATATTGTTGCGGTAATTACACTTAATTTTAGCTGTAGCTTGAAGAAACTATTAAGAGCATTATAATTTTTTTTTAAAGTTTCAACATGTACTTGAGAGAGCAAGGTAAAAAGTACTAACATGGCACAGCCCTCTACATAACTGTTTTCTGGAGATAGAATGATTGGCAGCCTGCTGGTAGTAAAACCCTGGATGCTGGGTTTGAATGGCAGTGAGGCCCAACTTGATAGCTTCATCAAACAAGTCACCAAATATCTGGAACCTGAAAAGTAATGTTTCTGTTGATACCAACTAATACTTTATTCATTTCCCAAAGTTACCAAATATTTGGAACCTGAAAAGTAAGGTTTCTTTTGAAAACAACTAATACTTTCTTCATTTCTGTGGTATCTCAATAATCAGGATTCCATTACACATTCCTAAAACACTAAATCTTAATAATCATGTTCATCTGTTACAACATAAACTGAAGACTAATAATTCCACTGAGTGCAGGGTATATCTTTACTCATGTAATTTCAGTGTCTCTATGGTACTTACTGTCTAGACATCCAAGCACTATGCTCAAATGACAATTCTCCAGTGCCAATCTTCTTCTTAAAGAAATCAATATGCTTTCTGAACTGACTGATGGCATCCAGGGGTGCATTGTGTTGGAAAGACAATCTGCAAATCTAATTACAGTGCACAGTTTTTAAAAATTGATTATCACCTACTGAAAGGGTTGTAATTGAGAACTGATATAATTGCTTTGGAAGCATTCCAGTTGCAAAACAAAATCAGGAACAATTTTAGGACAACCATCTTAGAGGAAATGAAGAATTACCAATATAACTCTAAATATTATATTATAAATCACCTTCTATGTAAATTCTTAAACATTGTACTTTACGTATGTATGTACAATATACAATACAATACAATAAATATATATATTGTTTATAAATCACATTTAAGCTAAACTTTAAAATAATCATCAAAAGGATAACAAACAGTATATTAACCTCACCTTTGTTTAGATCACATACCTTGTAATTAATAAATCCAGCAACTGTCTTTACTTCCAGCATATTGGTATTCAGCATCCTCAGTTCAAGAACATTCCCATAAGCCTGTTTATAGTGCCTGTGAACACACAATAATAACCCTAAATCAATTTCAGTGACAGAGAGAAATAGATGTGTATGTTATTAGACAAGCTGAACAAATTTTCTGCAAGCAAGATACAGTATCACACTACTTTGTCCTATTGATTAAAACATATATCATCAAAACAATATACCAAAACTATAACAAGATTTTATTGAGAATAATGATCAATAACAAAAGGTGCTCACTTGAGGGCTGTGTGAGTGTCCTGCTTCAGCTCATTAAAGAATGCTATTTTGAACTGATGTCTCACATACAATAGCTGAAAAATGAAAAAGAAAATTTTAATTAAAAATCAAAAATTGCTACAAACTGCAATAACATGATATGATGCCTAACATGTTTCTATTTAGCCCAGGGTTTGGCAAAAAAGGTGGAGGCCCAAAGGTAGAAAAAAATTAAGGAAGGGAGATACCGTACGCGCTATCCAAGTCCCCCCCCTCCCCCCTGCCAAAATATCTCTAGTCATTGGTTACACACTGATTATAAACTGTTACATATGACATTTTGTCACACCAGTATCAATATAATGTATTACAAAATATTCACTGTTTACTGCTATGATGACAGTGCTATGTCATGTCATGTTATACCTGGTGAGTAGTCTTATTCAGGAACTCTTTATGTGCTTTCACTCTCCTAGCCTCAGTGTGATAATAGCTCTGCGCCTGTTCATAGAAGGCATTCTCCAGTCTAATCACATAGCCCAGCAGATGGTCCGTGTTAGGGAGAACAAACAGGGACTTGGCGGACAGCTCACATGCACTGCAGAAAGAGGCTGCCCTCTCTGCTGCCACCATGTCTTCTCCTGGAGGGAGTGGAGCGTTCTTCTGGATCAGCACCACACATACTCTGGTGCTGCGGCCATCAAGACTATTCCTGAAGCAGAAAAAAATGTTATAATTCGTGAAATCCAGGAGCGGAAGGAGGCCGTCTTCTTGGTATTCTGGAAGACAACCAGAATATTCTAAGTTACACTGACAGGCATCTAATTTTTTCTGTTGGAAGACGGTCAAAAATGGAGGATGGATCAACAAAGATAATTTGGAAGACTGTCAGAAATATCTCTGGATCTGCCCCTGATATCTACTACCTGGATTAAAACATTCAATCAAAATAAAACTAAAAAGTCATTATGCCTTTACACTTAAATCATATAAATCAAATCAAATTGAGTAATGTCATAAATGTATTTTACAGCAACGTTGTTACTTATCAACTGTAGCACATATCTAAAAGATCCCTCCCTCAAATCACCTGACAATCTCAATTCTTGTAGCACATTCCATCTGCTTCTCTTTCCACAGTGGCTCATCCCAGTCCAGGTCAAAGAACACCACCACCACTGAGGGCACCTGGTCCAAGTGCTTGTTCATCCAGGCACTCTTCAGGATCCCCTTGGGAACATACCACTCGTATGTGGTCCTCTGCAAATTTACAGATATACCATGTCGTATCACTTTTAGCACTCTCTACAAGGTGTATATGCCCTTCATTTTGCTTATTCTGAGTCTAAATCTGATTTAAAATAGTCACTGATTCTTCAAATTAATCATAAAATACATGTAAATGCAATGCCCTTTATTTTGCTTATTCTGAGTCTAAATCTGATTTAAAATAGTCACTGATTCTCTAAATTAATCATAAAATACATGTAAATGCAAAGCATTAACAAGAACTATTAAGGCATTAATGAAAAGTGATAATGTTTAATTCAACATGTTTTAGACACCAACTACTGGGCTCTTTCTCGACTTAACTTTCTTTACAAAAACAAAAACCAAATCAAGGTTAAATTTGACAAAAAAATTGCTAAAATTTTACTGTCTTTAATTAAGAAGCAAAAAATAAAAAAAAATTAGAAAACAAAACTTACCTTAGTCCTGCACTTGGGGTAGTCATGGTCCAAGTTGAGCACCTTAAACTGCAGAGGAACCCTGTCAGCCCTTCTGTTATTACAAAAAGCATCCCAGATAGCTTTATGGACTGCATTGTAGGTGTTGTCCAACCCTGTCAGCACCACCAGCCCAAGTGGCCTACACAGCAGGTCTGGGGGAAGCTCACTTGCCCAAGACATCTACAAGAGAAATACATACATCTTCATTTATAAAGTAACACTGGCAATTGACAGTAACCAGTTGCAAAAGTGGCAATGCATAAGGTGTGCATGTACTGCACAGTACTTGCGGAAAAAACACTGAAAACACTAGGGTGCACAGCCCTTCAACCTATGCTTACAGTTATAGCACAGGTAATTATGACCTGTTTATATAGGACGCCCCCCCCCCCCTTCTCCGCCCCTTGTACATTGAAATGCACATTTCATATAAACTCTAGGACGTTGTTACACATTATATTCAGACGCAAAATCTACCACATACAAAGGTTAAACAGTGGAGACTGCCTGTGTTAAAAAATAGGACTATCCCTTATAAAATGTTTTCGTTACCTTTCCTAATACATGTCCTGGTGTTCTGCCTTCTGATTCAGGAAGTGGCTTTCACGGAGAATGACGGGTAAATCAAGATGGCCGCGCCCAGGTGAACATAATCCACGCGAAACGTACGAGTCGTAATTCTTTTTATTCCTATTTCCATAATTCCCCCTCTGTGTTATCGAATTTGTAGCATGCTTTTATCACAACTGATTTGCTTTATACTAATAATAACGTATCCCTTTATTGTAATCCATCAGTCACAGTAGCTGGTTTCGACAAGACCAGCTTAATTGTTATTCCTCTGTCCGGCGGATTTAGTAATTTACATTTGTTCCCTGTTACGTAGAAGTAATCTTATCACAATTGTTATTGTTTATTCGCTCAGAGGAGATGGAAGATCTCGTTATTTGCCAATTAATAATGTGTACTTAAAACAGGCATAAGTGAAAATGATTGGCAGAGAGTTTTCTTGATACCATTTGAGTCTGTCAAAGAAACCAAACTACAAGCAATGCAATACGGAATAATTCACAAGGTGCTGTACACAAACTCCACACTGTTCAAAATGAAAATAGTTACTAGCCCAGGATGTATTATCTGCCATATTAAAGAAACAATAATACATCGTTTTGTGGAATGTGTACGCGCAAAAAACTTTTGGATTGCATTTGAAAATTGGTGGAACACTCCGAATAATACCATTCACTTCAGAAAAAATGAAAAAACTATAATGTATGGGTGTTTGTCTAGCGACCAGAGCGCAAAAGCTTTAAATTTCTGTATTATTGTGGCTAAACAATTTATAAACAAAAATTTAGAAAATCCATCAGTCTATGATTTTGAACTGTTTCTGCATTTTCTTAGTCAGAAGAAGAAAATAGAAAAATACATTGCTATAAAGACAGGAAAAGAAGATAGGTTTGATACAAAATGAAAACGCATCCCATTACCAAACTGTGTTAAATGTCCACCTCTAGTACGTTATAGTTGCCGATATGTAGCGTACATCAAGCATGTATACGTGTAGTATGTATGGATGGACGAGTGAGTGAAAGTATTTCTATATGTTCTTTTTTATTTATCAGTATTTAATTACTGTAATTATCATCAGTATAACATGCATCAAATCTTTATCTGTTTAAATATTTCATTATATATGTATATTTTCTTTTTTTCTTTGAGTGAATAAACGTATTTAAAAAAAGTGTACTAAAAACCATATTTCTCTTAGACAACTACCAGTTATTGTATGGTAATCAGTGATTTATATTTTCTCTCTTCAGGATTTGTACGCTATTAGCAGCTAGGACCTGATTTAAAATGACAGCGAAAGAATTGCAGGAGGTAATAGTCAGTTCCAAAGGTGGTGATTATTGTGCTTTAAATACTAGTACATGTATCAAAGATAGACACTGGGTATTACTCTGTAAATGTCAGGCCATGATACAGATATTTATATCATTATTTGGTGTTAATTTATAATGGTAATTTTGCTTTACAGGAAGAAATTGAGGTGTTAACATCTATTTATGATGGCGATGAATGTTTTAAAATAGCCAGTGAGACTTCCTTTCAATACAAGGTAAGTGGTTTATAATTTTTGTGGTATGTCTGATATGTAGTGCCAGTCTTATTTCATGCTTTTTCATGTGCTGAATTTTGATATCTAATTTGAAGACTTTTGTAGATTTTAATTTTCTTTCATAAATTATTTTCTATTGGGATTTTATTATTATTTTCATGATTTTCATCATTCAGTTCTTTTTTCACTCAGAAATATCCATTTGCACTTTATAGATTGGAGAAGATGGAAGTTACAAATCATTTTTGCTGGAAATCAGTTGGCCTGAGAATTACCCAGCAGAACTGCCAAATTTCAAGCTGGATACCTTTTATAATAAACACTTGTAAGTGGAGTAAAAATCCTAGTCTCCAAGACTGTCCTGTGGCATTTTGCTGAAGTTGTGCTCACAAAAAATAGTGGCATATATTTAAGAGGAAATAGGTGTCAGCTGTTAATACAAGTAACAAACAAAATTCTAGTTAAGTTCCTGCGGATAGGGTATCATTTGCTTTTTAGCAGTAAACGCCTCCGATTTAGAATTATATTGAAGTGTCCATTGTGAGATTTGTTTGTCTCATTTAAAGTATATATGCATGATTCAAAGCATGAAACCTCCTCTCAGAGTAGTGAAATTACAAACCTCTCCTCCAAAAACTATTTTTATAGACATATGATGAACTTAAAGATGCAGAAAATACATGCATTCATTCACGCGAGTTGAAAGTGATTATAAAAACATCCAGAGAGCACAAGTTTGGAAAACAGATAAATAGATTAAACTGTATGCTTGAGAGAGAAAGCCATTTTGTTTTGCCTGAGAATATCTCAAACTGTGCATTTGACTCATAGTCTTAACTTTCATTTACTTTATCAGGTTAGAGGATGTCAAACAGAAAATAATAGCAAGACTCCTTGAGGAAGCAGAGCCTCTACTAGAGACTGCAATGACATACACCCTCATAGAATGTGCCAAGGAAAATGCAGAAGACTTGCTCATAGACCAGCCAAGTGCACCTCCTCAGGCTGCTAAGGAGATAAAAACTGAAGAAGAGACTCCTGAGCAAAGCTCAAAGAAAAAAGAAAAGAAAGAACAATTGACGAAAGCTCAGAAAAGAAGGATGTTTGACAAACTTGACAACAGAGGAGAGAAGCCCAGGGGGCATGACTGGGTGGATGTAGTGAAACATCTTAGTCAAACTGGAAAACAGAAAGAAGAGTCTTAACTTCCAAAGATTATTAAATATTTATATTTTTGGTGCTCTGAGGCAGATATTTACTCATAAAAAGAAGCTTTTAACGATGTTTAATGCTCAAATAAACCATGCTGCACATTATAAATCATTAAAAAAAATTATACCCAATTTTGAGCACATGCACTGTTTTATTATAGCCATCTATGAAATAGACAATGCTCTTTTTCAGCATTCTTCTTTGAGGTATGTTGCTACTACATTAGAGACTACTTGCAGGAGTCTAACAGTTTGCTTTCATACAGAGATACATTGAAATATCATAATACATTGTCTAATGAATGAGTGCAATAAAATAAAACCTCATCTGAACAGGAAGATGTCACATAGATGTGTCATTTATAGCTGACATTCAGGTTGTTCTGTTCTGAGAACCAACATGATCTTCAACTAGGGAAGCGTGGATTTAAAAAATTGAGTTCAATTTCTTAGCAACTGTAAGAGCCATTTCCTGTACAGACAATAAATGCATTTCTTTAGTTTACAATTTTCACTAACAATTTGATCTAGAGATTATTTCCAGCACCACTAACATCCACTACAGCTTTAAAAATACAAACACCTCCACCAACATATAGAGTAAGATGAATACAGCCCTACCCAGCACAACCTTATACAATCAACTGTCTAACTACCCTTTATATTAAGTAAACTGTTCTGCCACACGTACAGACTTGAAAATCTTAGAGTAGCATCTCAACAATTATGCTAATTCTTACAGCACTTGTGTATTATTCTCCAAATATTGCAAATCTCAAAGGTTTTCAATCAGCCCTGATATTTTCTATGTCTACTTATCCTGCAACTTTTTCAATCCATACCTTAAAATCAATAGGACACCTCGAATCAAAGTACCTGATGTTGATATTTCCTTCTGAAATCTACAGGAAGACTTGTAGTCTATTGACCTTCAGTCATTTACAACTAAATTGGAAATGATATAAAACACCAAAGCAAAGATTCGTGAGTAGAAAATTTAGGGAAAAATTCAATTTGGCAGGAAAATCCTGGATAGAATAAATTGAAATTGACAATAAATTGGTCATAAAATTATGAAGTGGAATAATAATATAATAAATGCCACTTCTAACAAAAATCACTACAGCTTAACATTGTATTACATGTCTAGTTATAATAGCAGATATAAGAGTTATTATCACAATACATATGACAGATAATCAAAAGCACATTGGCAGACAGGCAAAGTACTGGGCTAAAATGATATAATCACAATTTATGCCTTAAATATATCACTATTCTTGAATATATATAACTACCAGCAGTTGTATGAAAGCTATGAAGCCTGCACTTGTGTATTCATTGCAACTGCACATAAATAAAAACAATATACAATGACAAAAAATCTCAAAATAAGTATTTGATTTCATTATCTTTCACAAGTTTAAGAATGAGTAGTTTCTGTATTTTTGGTCCACAACAATGTAAAGAGATAGTACAAGAGATATTTGGCAAAGTCGGATGAAAAAAGAAACTTGGTTTCTTTGGTATTATTCCCTTGGTCAATTTATATATGAAACATTAGATAAATCTGCATTGTTCAAAATCAAATGCATTTTTTGGTTATTAATAGTGTTTCTGAATCAGTTCTTGATATGTGACAAACAAACAAATAAGCTAAATGAAAACTTCCAGAAAACATTTGGACAGGATCTTATGCTGCATTCATTATCACTTCTTGTCTTCTGCAGATCTTATAATATATCCAAGATTTTTATAATTACTTCAAAGATCTAATCTGCAAGGACATTGGTCTGGATCACTTTCAGATAGTCAAAAAATACTACACACCGTGATACATATATATTTATGCCAAAACTGGGTGCCCAGTAATTAGTCCAAATGTTTGCTACTTAAAAGGTTTGCAAATGAAATTCTTTGTGTCTGCACCAAACATTTGGTTTGCAGAGGCACATCCCATTCCACCATATTGTTAAGAATGAGAGTTAAAACTTTATCCTGTTCTTAAGTAACAATCACCACTTGGCAGGTAGATTTCATGGAAAAAAGAAATTTCAATTTTCCAGGATGGTTTATTTTTGTACATGTCAACACAAGCATTTTTAAAGAAAAATATAACGGCAAAAACTCTGGCTATGCAAGCACAACCTATCCATTGGCAACTTGCAATTGGCAATACCCACATGATGCTGTCAACCATGTACTCTGGCCAAAAACATCCCTGGTCAAATAAACCTGATAGGTAATTTTACCCCAAGTCCACAGCTGTTATGACAGAGGAAGAGGGAAGATTGGGTCCATCTTCTAAATGAAGTTTTCCTTTGGACTTGAACAAATCCTGTCAAGAAATAACTTTAAATAAAACAGCCAACCAGCCATAAACAAGACTGCTATTTAAAAATCTTCAGAAAAATTACTCAAAAACCTGATACTTACTTAAAATTAATTTCAGAAAAATGACACAAAAACCTGATGCTTACTTTAAATGAATTCTTCCCCAATGTGACTAACACTTAATCATTCTAAGAGTGAACAGACTTTACCTGCTGTGAGGATAACTTGTCCATTTCTTTCTTCAGTTTTTCAAGCATGGCATAATTTGGTTTGTTCACCTTGTTCTCTTCAAAATCCCTTGCTAGCTGCAGGACACTGTCTTCATGTTGCTATAAAAATAATCAATACAGTGGCATAATGTAAAAAAACATTTTTAAACTCATGTTTTCTTCATCCTGGTCCAGAAAAGTTCGCTATTGGCAGATATTTTGTAAGTGTCAATTAGTTTGGAGTTCAAAATTCCCTCTGTGACAAATTTTCCTTCCTACAACAGCATAGTCAAGTTGCAAAGAAAATGAATTCAGGCACTAAGGATTTTTCTAAAAAGTTCAAAACACTTTAAATACAAATGTGAAATTTAGCAATGAAATACAAATTATAAATGTACATTACAGTAACAATTCAAGAGTCAAAACACAAAATTTGAACAATTTATTTTTTCACAGACTAAAGAATGCTACAATTTAAGCACAACCCTGTGCTGAAAGTTAATAATCAATTTACTTAATAATTTTCAGAACTCGGCACCTTATCCCCAGATGCAGTTATTCCCAACATAAAGTAAGTTGAGCCCATTTTACCATCCTGGTTTTAAAATATATTTCTCAGTGCTTCTGCTATTATCAGTGACCGCAATCAAAAGACAAGATAAAATTTTTGAAAACATAATATTATAACTTGAATAATTAATTCACAATTTTAATTACAAAACAGGTAGAATTAGAGTCATTTCTGTGAAATAAAAAATTCATAACAAAGTTTGCCCCTTGAGCTACTAACAATAAATAATTAGGTTTTGATTACAATGGAACTTCAATAAATCTAACTGGAATGAACATCAATTAGTCAAACATCAAGAAAACAAACAAGTCATGATATTCCACTCATCTTATGAGTAAAATTTGATAACAAACTTGCAATTAACATCATGCATTTGATCAACAATAAAATCACTTTGGTCATGCAATTAGAAGTAGATTGAATGACAAAAATGGCATGCATCACTTCCAACATCCCTTTAAACAATTGCAAAACCTTAATAATATTTCACCTTCAACAACTAACATGAGACCCTATGCTCTTAGGGGAATAAAAAAACACAAAAAAGTTCAAATAAAATGCAATCTGCATTTCCTTGCAGATTACTGAACTTAACATGTGAATGTCAACATAAAAGCTTCTACTTTTGCCTAGAATGTCTACTCCCACTGGTGACATTCTGTGACCTTGGTGCAGCTAACTGATATTGAGAGAATGAGGCAGCATCTGCTGGTAAGTGGTAGAGGTTTTCACTGGGTGCTGCAGTCACAGCAGCTGCAGACAATGGCTGGGCAGTGAAGGGTACTGTTAACCCCACAGTGCTGGGCGTGATGGGGATACTGTTGGTGCCGTGGGGCCAGGGATAATGCAGATGGGCATCTTGACCACTCCCAGACCAGGTCTGTTGTTGGTAAGGGACAGCCTGAGAGCTCTCTGGGCTGGTCACATCTCTGGCATAACAGCTGGCTTCAACCACATTAGGCTTTCCTGCTCCCATTACTTGAATGTCTTTTTCCTTTTGTTGAACCTGTATGTCTGGACTAGGGCGTGGCTGGTAGGGAGCATACCCCTGGGAACTAGGAGTGGTGGCCAGCATACAGGGCAGTCTGCTGGGATATCTGGTCATCCCTACACTTACTGGGTATCGAAACATGTGAGAGGCATATGGATTCATGGCATACCCTGCTGGGTTCAACTTGAAGGGTAATGGATTGTGCTGTATTACTGGACTGCTGCTTTTGGTGTTGCTCTGACTTCTTGGAGGTCTTGAACTTTCCCAGTTGTCATCCATACTACTGTAGGTACGCTCTGGAAATTGTGTAGCCTTATGTATAGCTGGCTCAGACTTCCCAAGTGGTTTGTCTTGGCATTTCTGGCAGCCATTATTAGGATTGGTTCTGAGAAGAGAATTGGATTTCTGTAATCTGTTTTCTGGGTCATACACAACATCTGGGAACTGGGTGGCCTTGTGGAATGTGACGTTTCNAATCACTACTTCACATTCAATCAGCTTGTAAAAATTGTGAGGAAAATGCCCTTTCAGCATGAAGAGATTGGGCATTATTGTTGGTCAGGATTCATTAACATTGCATGTCTTCTCTGCCATGTTGAGTTTCTAGTGGTACTAACAGGAAGGTACCAGCAATTGAAAACTACCCAATTCTACATAACAAAAAATAGTATCCAGATTCAGAAACATTCCTTTTCCTAATTTGGATCAGCAGATTTGTTGGAAAAGTCCCCAAGGTGATTTCCCATGATTTCTCTCTACCTACATAATGTATACCCTATCTGCTACAGTGAAAATATTATTTTGTTGCATTTGTTATGTATTTTTGTGAAATGTATAATTATTTTTATACCTGTTTGTCGATTTTAACATGAAAATATTGATGCATTAGTACTATGCACAAGCACCTGTTATCATAATTATGTTCAACTTGATTTTTATTGCAATGCATATTATATCTGCACAATACATCAAAGTATCAGTTTCACAAGTAATTCATTATTTTGAAAAATTCAAATGGTGGCATGCTCTATACAATGTGCAACTGGTGTTAACGTACATGTGTATGGGCTGGTTTCTAAAACTAGTCTTGTAAAACATGAACTGAGATAAGTAGCCTATAACACTGACTAAGTCCAGCTGTCCACCATAATTCCACAGGTCAGAACGAACCCCAGGGGCCAGTCGCAGGTAAGGGGCGGGTGTGTCGCTTAATTATGACCAGTTTGAGCAAGAACTTTTATGATTCCCATAGACTGAGACAGCTTTAATGAAATAAAATGAATGTGCTTTTGATGGCAATGAATTTGTCAAGCAGTACCCTTCATTTTTCCTATTCATGTATTTCTTAAGGTTGAACTTGAAATTTTCCACTCCCTGGCCCACCATTATGAAGTAATTTCTACTGAGTATGTCAAAATGAATATTTAATGCCTTTGTAAACAAGTACTGGCTATACCCATCACCTTCCCCACTATTGCTTCCAAATCTCCATGACTTTGTCTGGATGAGTATTTTTTTCTTTAAGGCAATGTATTTATCAGTATTATTCTTGAATTTTCTTGATTAATCAGTTATGCATTGAATCCATTAATTCTGAAAAGAAGTGAAATTCAACTTTTTACATGTATCAAAAGTTTGGATATGAAAATTGTTCCCCCTTTCATTTTGCTCCACATTTCTTACCTGGTCGTTTTACCTCTGATTCCACCATCGTACTAGTACGTATTTTGTGTTATTATTATAGTTGAAAAGTTTGAATCATACAATGAAATTTCGTGATGACAAATCAAGAATGTAGAAACATGGTAGCTTAATAGCTTAAGCATACATGTAGATAAGCATGGTTATAATAAACAAAATGCTAGCATGTGCTAGAAAACAAAACTTCAAAACTTGTTTTATAGTTTGTAGTTTGCATTTGCAATGCTGTGTCTAGCTATGGAGAATTTGATTTTTTCTGAAATGTGAAATTTTGCATTGAGGAAAATTGTACTGAGTAAGGGATTTGTCATTATTTAATGCAGGTGATTTGAATTTGCAAATAAAATATTCCTTTTCCAGAATTTGAAAGAAGTAAATGTAATAGTGAGGATTTATGTCTTTATATCCTGTCAATTTAAAAAACCGAATCTACAACATTAGTGAATTTCAAAATCAAAAATGAATGATTGAAGGCACTGTGCATTGCCAAATGAGATTGCATTGAGCCTCATTTCTGTGTATTACTAAACTGTATTTGAAACGGATAAGATTACCTTACATCAATTATGCCCTTTCTTTTTCCTAATGATTCAACATGTAATGTTGCAATATATATTTGTCCAGAAAAGGATAATTGTGCATACTTAGTCTAGTATGATTTAAAACAAATTTTTGATATTATTTTGAAACTGACTTAAGAAATGAACTATTAATGATGTGAATGCCTTTGCACTTTTTGCTTTTTATCTCTGCCATGTTTTCAGGCGGTGCCTCTTACTCATTTTATCAAGTTCTCAAGATAGAGGGCAAATATGAAATGGGTGCAAAGTATCTGCTAATATTATGAACCAAATTTTCAACAACTAACACTGCATGGGTTTGAAGTCATAGTTACAGTAATTACTCACTTTATTTCAAACAAAAAAGATATTTTCCAAAAACAGTGTTTTGTTTGTGAATCCAGATAGATATGTTTTCAGAGTGATTAAAGCGAACAAAGTTCATGGCACAATATGCATTTTTATAAGTAGAACTAGTAATGTTGAAAAAATAATTTGCATGTGTTTGAAAACTGTGAGTAAATACAGTATACTGCTAATTACTAACCATTAAATATAATGTGGCTGATAGGCTTTCCATATTAAGCTTGATTTGGATTCATATTGAGAATCTGGATTGAGCATGATTGTTTTAATGATATTGCACCAAATGAGCAAGTTTTTAATTGATATATTTCATGGTTATCTATTTTATTCTGTAATTCTTAAACTAACAATATACATTGATCTTGATTGTAATGAGTCTTTAATAACCTAGAAAATACAACTATATCAAAAGGAAGCAAGTGTTTGTAACATTATTGCCTCCTCAACTCTCTGTAACAACACCTGTTATTGACATTTAACTCAAAAACTGACCCCAAATTTGTAACCAGCCATAGTGAACAAACCATTACAACTTCCAAGCAGAGTTGTGCCTTGGCTTCCCAGTTGAGTGGTCATTCAGGACCTGTTTTCCAAATAGAACTTTAGACCAAAATTTGAGTCTCCTTTCAATTGAGATAAATATAAAAATAAGTTAATGGTCTAATTGATTCATTGACGAATAAAATATTGTGTGTGTTTTATATAACAAGAATGAGATACCTGTGTGAATTTTGATTTTATTAAAATAGTTACTTTTTAGTGAATTTCTTAAGATTTATCTTAAACTGAAATAAAATTTTGGTCTAAAGTTTAAGGTCAACTTCTGGTATAAAACAGCTCTTTAAGACACAGACCCTTGTTTTTTTTACTTCCAGTGATTCATTCCCAAGTCCACAAAACCATGCCTCACAGAGAGGAGATGAACAGTCAGCACTGAATAGAATACTACACCAAACAGCCAGGTGAGAATATGCTTTGTGATTGATAGCTAAATGTAATCAAATGTACCACTGCCATGGTGATAAGGTACACAAGACTGAATACATAGAAAAAATATGATATAATACAGTGGAGGTTAACATACACATACCAGGTATGTGTGCCTGCATACATACATGTATACCTATTTTTAAGAGAAAACTTGTTATCTGGATTTATTAGGAGAGCAGTAAACTATATAAATGAGAAAGCATGGTTGCGAATATATTTTTTTTTATTTGATGACGTTTAAAACTTTTTGCCTCAATGATATTTGGCATTCACAGAATATTGTGAAAATGATATTTTTTTCTCATGTGTAATTTTATATAAAGAATGTAATAAATTGATGCTTATGATTAAGTTGTAGTTCTAGTTATTTCCCAGGATAACATTTTGCCAGAAAACCTCTAAGCTTGCATTTATTTTTCTTCAACATTTATCACTGTAACATTACTTCACTGCCTTTTTCTTCAGCAATGTTATAGATGTTGCGGCAATAGATGCTCGTTCTATGGAACAGCATGAATACCTGGATAAGGCAAGACAGTATAGGTGAGTATTGGGCCCAACATAAAATATGACAGTGCATCTAGTACTGTTTTCTTTGGATAACAATGTAGCCTGAATGAATACTGTTTCTGTTAATTGAACTGGCACTCAGTGCTTCGATCTTCCTTTGCAAGTTGTTGATTTGTCAGAAAATCTCTATCCAGTGATCCAGTTAATATATATTTTTCTAATAATTCTATTTGAAATCTGCTGGTAAATACAGAACATAGGTAGGGAGCTCATCAAAAAATTATATTAAAACTATATAACGAGCATCCTGACATACTTAACTAGTTGCCTTAGAATTGGTCAGTTTTATCATATTATTTATCCATGTACAGATGATAAGTTAAGTAATGCTGTCCTTTTTTTTTTCAGTTCTAAGTTGACGATGTTGTGCAATAAGACACCTATCCCAAGCAGGCCTCATTCCCTGCCCTCTGGTGTAGGAAATCCTTATGCCATACTGTCAGCACCACCATTGTCACAAGCAGACATACAATTTGTAAGTAAATTCCAGTTATAAATGAGATATTGTCAGTGCATTAGCTTAATATAGTAATGGCCATCATTTGAGCCAATCATTATAGGGTGTGGAACTGTTAGATTTCAGCCATTTTTTCAGTTTCATGTTGCTGCATGTAACAGTTGTAGAAAATAAAACATGAATTGAACACCTAAAAGTGATGAAGAAAATTAATATGGAATATTCCTTTTGGTTTTGTTTGTTTTTCTGTTTTGGGTATACATATTTTTCCAAAATTGTTTAACATCTGTTGGACAGCATTTATTTTTCTGTACCAGAATTTCACCCTACTTGCTTTTTCTTATTTTTTTCTAGATTACACAAGTAGCTGATAGGACAGCACAGACATTGAAAGAAATCAAAGTGAAACACAAAGAGGACTTGGTTGTTCCTTTTGGAGTACCTTGATATACAGACATAAAAAATACAACAACTGTACAGTAAAAAAGAAACAAACTGACTTTAAATCTTAAAGTTTCTATATTCATCAGCATAAGTATGCTTCAGACAGCAGGTTCAAGCTGTTGCAAATAAATAATCTCAAAAAAAAGAAAAAAATTAGCGTTATTGCGGTAGACTTAAAAGAAGAATTATTCTTATTTTTAACTCTACATGCTGAATATATTAAATGCATACAATGCATTGCTCAGATATTAAAAGATTATTGTTGAACAAAATGTAATAAATCACTCCTAGTAGAGCATATATCATTACTTAAACTATTTCTCCTATAAAAATTTTAAAAATCTTCAGGTACTGTGATTTTTTTTTTTTTTTTATCAATACAGCAGTCATTATAGTGATAAATATTATTGAAAAAAAAAGCTTTAGATGTGTGGCACCTTTTTGGGTTTCTTTAACTGCTCAATAGAAAGAACTAGTTCCAAACTGCGGTTTTGTAAATAATAGTCACTGTTATTGAGTGACAAATGAGAGAAACAGATTAAGCTCTACATTTTGCCTTAGTAATTTTACAGTTACTGCAAGGACAATAATGTAGCATATTCCATATTGTTAGCTCAAGTGTTTATCTCATGCAACAACAGTTTCTGTCCCCAAAGTATGGCAGTTCATTGTAGGTTTTAAGAAGGAAGCTGCATCTTAATTCTTTATCACACATGGTGCCTGTAAGTAATTATACAGATAACTGGTTCATTTTATGAGGCATTGGTACCAGGTATTGTAGAGGTATTTGATAGTTCACTTCATACACCCAGATCTACTAGTAGCTCAAAATAAAGACAGGTCCAAGAGGAACTCCTGTCTAACTGTACCAAGGCATTAATGGAATACCACTTTTGTGCCACTGACAATACATCAAAAATCTTTTTATGGGGCTTCTCCCATGATATCAGAGCCCTTCACCTAGTAGATTGGAAGGGGCTTCAGGGGGCACAAGATTAAAATTTTTATATATTTATTTGAATGGCAAAAAATCTGAGCTATAAAATGTTTTATGGAGTTTCGTTATTTCCTTTAGTAGACCCTTGCCTTGGAAAGGTCACAGTGAAGGTCATGCCACTGATATCACAGTGCTTGGGAATATATAATATAATATTTTGCCTGGTGCAATCTGAATGATTCCTGTGAATGGGGGATTTCCTGGAAACTTTTATCTTCCATAGCTTGTTCTCTCAGAATAAGTTTTCTGTTATTGCACCTAGTAGTGGTTTTATGTTTTATTTTCTCCATTTAGAAAATATGAGTGTATAAGGAATAACCGGATAAAAGAGTTGAAAAACAGCTCGTTTTTCCAGTTTGTGTGCTTCTACCTGGAATATGAACTTATTGCTTACTGTGATACAAAGGACAAAAATTTGGTTTGAAGCACTAATTGTCTCCAGGTTTGTTTTCAGGTCATGTATTATTTCTTCACAAACATGATAAAAACATATCTTATGGCTTATTTAGACTTGGATGAAAGTATGGACATCTGTAAATAAAGAACATGTAATGTCGAGTTGTTAGTTTCTGTGCACAGTCACTGTTAACATATGTACATATGGTCATCGCATGCATCTGGCCATGTAGCCTATGTGCTTTACTGAACAAATGCCATGGCCATCATGTTGTATGAGAACTTGCCTTTTTATGTCATACCCAACTGGCTTACAGTTTTATGCATAGTATAAAAACACCTTGCTGCTCACCCTAGAATTTTACATGATCAAGCTTTTTGAGCACATCAGCTTATATAGCTTTAACTGTCTTATACAAAATAAATATAAAAGCTGGTATTTTTTAGAGAAAAGTAAAATACCTCTGGTGGGAATGTGGACAGGGGTCAAAATTTGGATGTGCAGAGGCATGGGTCAAAGTACTATATTATACCATCTGAAGTGGCGTACACACGCGTGCATGTTTTGACACTGGGATAATTATTGGATGTTATCAAAATGTGTTTCAAATTGAAATAAATGCAATGTTGCACATTAGGTCACTGTTAGAAAAAAAGTTATTATGTGATAGCATTTTAATAAGACAACAAACAAACAACCAAGTGTTAGAGAAATTTAATGTGATGACTGTAACAGTACAAAACACCAGCTCTGCCTTGATAAAAGCTTCAAAATATAATACAACCAATGACAAGTCTGTTCAAAACAGTCAACCTTCTCCCTATGAAACCAGGCTGATACTATATATCAACGCATACTTCTTCACAGACTGGAGTCTTCTCTGTGAAAATCCATTCACTTCTTGCTTATAATTCCTGTTGAATGCAAGAAAGTAACATCCATAGGGCAGTGACAGCAATAAGATTTCTAAGAAAGTGTTAATAAAATTATATCTAATTAAATAAACCATGCACAATCTCCTGTGTGCCTCAAAGTACAAGTCTTGTGACTATGCCTTGAAAGTCAAACTATTTAAAGATGTCAAAAAAGAAGGGATTTCTAGATTAGTCTTGGTTTTCCTCTTAAAACCGCAGTTGGCGGTGGTGTGCATTGTCTAAAAATTTGCAGAAACCATATGAACTCTCAAATAAAGATGGTCCCTTGCAGGCCTCCCTTAACTATGGAAGATATGATTCTATATTACTTCTGGACGCTTTCTACAATATAAAATAGCACATACACCTTTGCTGAACTAGTTGAAGCACAGTCAGCTTACAACTTTTTTTTAATTACCCAGGAAGGATATAGGACTAAATTCAATTTGGTCCTACAATGGGCTTATAATCACGTGTCTCATAAACAAGAGTTGCTTCAAACATAGGATGGTCTCAATGTGTGTAAACCAACTGTCTATTAAAATGGAATCCCTCCTCCAAACAAAAGGAATTGGTCACTAAAAATATTAAGAATATGCATAAATGCACAGTGATAATCCTGACCAAAATCCTTTGTTCATTTAAGAACACTGGTTGTTATGGGTGAATTAAACTAACTATAATCATCCTCATCATTATTACTGTCATTTAATTGTGGTACAGATTGTTGTGGCTGTTGCTGCTGCTGTTGTTGTTGTGCTGCTGCTTGTGCTGCCTGTTGCATGGCCAACCATTCCTGCTGCTCCAAGAGAGCCTGTTCTTGACGTGCCTGGGAACACAAAAGTTAGCACATCAGTAATGTTTTCTGGCCTTAGTACTATACCTTTGGAACTGTTGAAATAGGAGGCCAATTCCTCTTCTCTCTTTATCACTAATTAATTAAATTCACAATGTCAATGACTACAAGTTACAAGTACATGAGTGGCAAGGTTTTCTCCAGACAGCAGTCCAGCCAGCATTTGGGAGGCTACTGACCACCAAAGACAGCTTAGATGTTCAAAGACAGCTGGACAGCTAGTGAAATTTTTGAGGAATGACAACACATTTGTAGTTGGACTAATTTCAAATTGGTTACCAAATCACAGAACATGCTAGTATGTAACCCAAATCTTGGGGAAACCCCCAGTGAGTGGTGAACAGAATATGCACAATTCAATGTAAACATGTGTTCTCTTCACAGCTTGTTGTATACATAACCTGAAAAGGAACAATATGTTTCAATACATCCTTCATACCTTGGCAAATAATTCTTGCTGCTGCCTAAGCAATTCTTCTTCAGGAATCCCTAAATTTTCTAATCTTGTGCTCTGTCTTCGTTTTTTGGCTGCAACAGCTTTTGCTTCCTGTAATACTGCATATGCCTCTTCTTTGTATGCCCCAAAACCTAAACTTTCCAGTGCTACAAAAGAAAATAACTTTTTACAGTTACAATAAACATTTTGTTCCCTTTCCTTTTCTTACAATTTTAAAAGGAAAACAGTCTCATTTCTAAAAATATTAAGTCTTTAACTTTAGGTGTTGGAGTGATTAAACAGTTTTTTTTTATTCTTTTACATACGGTAATCAGTCTATAATCACAATTATCACAAAAACAAAAATGCCAACGCAATAGTGCTTAAGGTTGTGAATCTGTAGTTAATCATTTCATCAACAATGGAATAAAATTAAAAAATAATTAACAATGCTTATATTCAAAATTTTATCAAATGAGCATGAGATTATAGAATTGTCACTTTAAGCTCTTCAACAAAACCTACCCCCTAACACGTGTTCTGGAGAAATAGTCTTTTTCTGCTGCTTATTACAAATGTCATTTGCCTCAGATGAGACTAAGTGTATAAACTCTGTGCAGCAGCTGAGAACAAGTTCTCTTGCATCATTTGACACTCGGACATTGGGAACTAATTCCTTGATCATCTTATTGAGTGCTGCACGGGGAATGCTCAGTTCATCATCTTCTTTCTCACGAGCATCTTTATCCCTGCTGTGTTCTGCCGCCATAATAGCTGAATGATTGTAGGAAGACGTGACCCCCTGAGAACTGTCCAAATGTACTACAAATGCCTTGGTATGTGAATGCTCAAAATTACTTCAGTTCACTTGACCCTTAAANTGAAGTCCCATTTTAATGCACTTTGTTTATTAACACAGTTTCTTAAAAATCAAAAGCAGTATGTCCACAACTTGATAAAAGCTAAACAGAGCCTCCATATTTGGCATAATTGGGAAGGGGATTTGCGTAACTTGTTCATATCATATTTGAGAGTCACCCTTTCTCTTGTCACTTACCTATCAGTACAACCTTCTCTTTCTCTTCAGGGGCACTTGGATCTGTCTCTGTGTCTACATCTCCATCCACATCAGCCTCAGAGGCAGAAGTATTTCTGGGCTTATCCAGACACTCATCTAGCAGAGCATCTATGTCATCGTCATCATAGTCATCCTCACTTTCATAGTATTCTTCTCTATCAGAGCCTAAATCATCTATAATTTCAAAAACTTGAGCATTGTGAGAAGAGGCCATGGTTTTCTCAATGTCTACTGGACTTTCTGGCCTGTGATTCTGGTCCTCAATGATCATAGAGATCTGTGAATCAGAGTCTACATCTTTGGAAGCTTGGCATTCTAATGAGAGATTTTTGGATGTTTCACATTCAATACTAACTAAGTCTGGTCCTGTAGAGAATTGATCATTGTTACTAGAGATTCCACTTTGGCTGTCTAGTTTACGTTTTTTAAAGGCAGGTTCTTGGTCCCTCTCCACCTTGGGTTGCATATTACCACCTTCACCATGGCCAAAGTCCAATACATGAGAAATGTGATTGGACGATTGCTCTGATGCTGGTGGTAAAGTTGGTGGCTGCACGTCTTTCTGCTCCTTACTCATGGTTCAGCATAGACATGTCTTTGTCTGAAATACACACTCCTATATACAATTTGTATTCTGACAAAAATCCTGCTTGTCTGCCAGTCAGATTTGTTCCAAATGAGGACTCAAATGCACTGTTCAAGTACTAATAAAGAAAAAGATCAAATATTCACTTTTAACTTCATTAGTATCAATCTCAGTGCTTTTGAGAACAGGCTATTGTTAAAAATGTGTTCAAACTAACTATTTACTTACAGTAAAGTTGTAAATGCCAAGATCGTAAGAAAGCAATAGAACAGAAAACGATGCTAGAAAGTACAAGGGGTGACTGCTTTCTTCCCAAGTTTTTGTGAAGACAGCACCAGAGCTTTCTTTCAACAGGAATGAAAAAATTGTTCAGGCATGTAATCTATGTGAACTTGAAAGTGCATCATTTTATTAAAACATAATAAAGGCAATATGGCTGTTAAGGGTAAACTTGAACAGGGTAAATATATAAACCATTATTTTCAACGCTTAATTTTCATTTCAATCGGCGGAACTGACACTCACTCCACTACATTCGAAGATTACATGGCATATGTTAGTTTTTCTCTTCTAACGGCACTTCCATCTGAAATACAGAACAAATATAAATTAGAAAATACAAGTAGCAACAGCGTCTGTTTGACACTGAAGCCTGCTATCAGCGAGGTCAAGACGAAAAAGTTGCAAGTCACATCTCATTGTTACAAAATCATCTCCATTTATCTGTAAGATGAGTTACGCAATGTGAACTGGTAGTATTATTCTCTTGTTTTAAGAAGCAATCAGAACACAGGTCGAATACAAAAGCTAAAAACCTGCAGTTTTTGACTGGAACTTCTGGAACAAGAAACATGGCGAATCCGAAGCTAAACTTTATGTATATATTATTATCGAAAGAAATACCTATAAGTAACTCCATTTAACCTGTAAAAGTACATAAAATTCTGTTAATCATAGTATAATAAATATTTTAATTTCAATTATTTCCTGTGATTATATTTCTCTATGCGTTCACGTAATATAATTATTCCTCGAAACTAAACCATTATGAAAATACTGGCTTTGCTTTTGGAACACATGGCTAAGGCAGTGGAGAAATGTAAATGTCTGGTTTTATGTATATGACGTGTGAACGGTTTTAGATGTTAATCTCTGACATACTGCAAAATATTTGTTAGGGCGTTGAAAACCAACTTGCAAGTTGCAGAATCAAGTGATTCAAACAAATATCTTGTGTCGGCTCTGAGCATACATGCACAACAGGTAATCTAGACTGCATTGGGGAGTACTGGAACATAAAGACTTATAAGTTAATGTGCCTAGAAATAGAATAAATGCGAAATAATGATAATAATTATAATGATGATAATAATTATAATTATAATTATTATTATTATTATTATTATTATTATTATTATTATTATTTAAATGGTAAAGATAACAAAACTTTTAACTTAAGCTTGGTTTAACTTGAGGTTATACTTTCAAAGTAAGCAGTTTGTTAAATGATGATGATGTGATAATACGCTGTATATAACATACACACTTCTTTCCCACCATATACTCACTAGCATATGATCATTACTAGGAGGGTAATATTTGGGTGTTCGTTATTCTGAATGATTATTGCCATTGAAAATTTAGAACATTTAAATGTTTTATATAACGAAGATATTTCTTCTTGTTGTTCTCCTCTTCTTGCCTCTTTACATTATTTATTAAATGCTCTGTATTTCATTTTAGCCATGAGCAGAAAGCAGTTAGATGAGGTAATACCCTTCCTGTCACACAAGTCAAGGGGGGATGTAAAGGCAATAGCCATAGACTATGTGACAGGTCTTACAGGGACATCAGAAGGGAGAACTCTACTGTGTAGCCGAGACGTGTACTTGGAGGCAGTTGCAGGTTTACTGCAAGATGACATCCAAAGCATATCAAAACAGGCATACAAAGCCCTGGTGAATCTAACTGCAGAAGATTTGGTGTGTCCGAAGCTGCTGTCTCTGAAGACAAAACCCAATCTTCTTCAGGAGCTTATGAAATATGTTTGTAATCCTGAAAGTGAACTTGCTGACGAAGCATGTATGTTGTTAAGCAATTTGTCCAGACCATTAGATTGTGCCAAGAAAATGGTGGAAGTGATTCAGAAGGAAAAGGAGACACTTGGGTTTGACAAACTAATACAGGTCTTCTGTACTGAGGGATACAACCCCAAAGCAAAACTACATCATCTGGGTGAGGGCAATTTTCGTGTTGTGCATACATAGAAATTGCGTAATAAAGAAATCTATGAAGACAATGAAAAGTCTACTGTACTGTCCAAGTAATATATCGTGTCTTTGAATTAAAATTTGATAAACTGACATTTGTTGCAGCATTTGTTATTTATTAACTTAGAATTTTACATGCACTTTCAATGTATTATTGTTATAAAACGTGAACCCTCTTTTACCTCATTAGGTCCATTCCTGTGTAATCTGACCCAGATTCCCGAGGCTCGCCAGTTCATTCTCAATAAAGATGGCTGTGTCATCCAGAGACTGCTTCCATACACGCAGTATCCTGAGTCGGTAGTTAGACGCAGAGGAATTGTAGCTACACTTAAAAATTGCAGTTTTGAAACTGGTAAGGTTTTATTTGATGAAATCTTATTATTTAAGAAAATTTGTTTTAGCATGTGTTTTGTATCAGATAAAAATTTGAACCAATCATTTATTTCATTTTATCATATGATGTATAATTTCTGATGTAATCAGACAGTCACTTAAAGTAAAAAAAAGTTACGTGGTCACAGGCTGTTCTAAGATATTAATACTAGTAACTGTATTTGAAGTAATTACATTTCTCTCATTCAGATAATCACCAGTGGTTGTTAAGTCCTCAAGTAGATCTCCTCCCCCACCTTCTCCTCCCCCTGGCTGGTCCAGAGGAGTTTGATGAGGAGGACAATGACAAGTTACCAGTGGAGCTGCAGTACCTGGAACCCACCAAGACCAGAGAACCAGAGCCAGATATCAGGGTCATGTTAATAGAGGCTGTCCACCAGGTGATGCTGGTCACTGATAGCTAAGTAGCGTGATTAAAAGATCTGTTGAATGACTTAATTTTTATTATGACTCGCATTGAGATGGGATAACACAATTGAGGTCAGAAATTCAGTTTGATGTGATTGTTGCTCATTGACTTTAAAGCTGAACTATGGAGGTAGTACCCAATGTTTATTTTTTGGATGAACCATAGCCAGGTATTTCTGAAGACCTGAATAATTGATTTTTTCTTTTTTTCATAGCTCTGTGCAACAAAAGAAGGCAGGGAGTACCTTAAAGACAAAAATGCATACATCATACTGCGGGAATTACACAACTGTGAAAAGAATGAAGCAGTTATAGAAGCTTGTGAAGATGTAGTATCTATACTGATTGGTGATGAGCCAGCACCAGAGCATGCAAACCTCAAAGAAGTTGAAATTCCAGCAGACATTCAAGAAAAATTGAATAAAGCTAGCAGAGTTGCAAAGGATGCAGGGGGAGATGCAAAGGACGGCTAATTTTTTAAAATTTCTCTTGTAGGGAAGAGGAATGTCTTTCCTTTCAACTCAAAGAAATGGGTGCATGCAGTGCAATTTAAACAACTTTCTACATGGGGCATGCAGGTGAAATGTGGAAATGCAGATGTTGGGAAATATTGACCCTCTGCAGGAGTTTATTGATATCTTTCTTTACCCGATACATGCCACAGTAGCATGATCTATTCACAGCAGAGTGATCCATTTATTTGATGCCTTAAAAATATATCAAGTACGGATTTTTTTCAGTGGTGCTCAATTAAAAAACTTCTGTGTATTTCTTTTGTTCAAAGTTTCATAAGTCAAAGTCTGCAAACTTTAATGGTTTTTATACAGAGTAATTATTTATTTAGGTCAACTATATATATTGATTATTAAAGAAATTTTTCAAGTTTTGCAGTGATCTTCTAACTGCAAGGTACACATTTTGTGCCTGGCTTTGAGCAGAGGGGAACTGCAAACCAGTCTGAAGGGGATGGAAGCAGTTTTATAAAAAATAACAAATGCAACTGGCAGTTTTATTATATTTTATTTGGTTACACAGAAAATAAATTGATGTAAATAAATATAATATGTTTATTAAAATGTTATTTTGTTTTAACTTACTACAAAAACTAAAAACTTGAAATACAAAATTATTTGCACATTTTTGTTCACTTGGTATACTGGCAGATGAGAAAAGAGATTTGGAATACTATCAACATTTCCTTTCACAATAAATTAAATGATATAATATAAATAGCATTATTATGATTTTATATCTGGAAATGCTAGTCCTGAGAAAATGCAAAACTGACCAATGAAGACGTCACCATACATGACAATCTGAAAAAAAAAGGAAATGTCAATCAGACATCAAAAATATACAGCTTCTGGTATAATCTTGAAACAACCTCAACCAAAGTCATTAATTGTATAAAGATTTTTTCTTTTGCCCTTGATATAGTTTATTGTGACATAGCTCCTCATGTATTGGCATAGCTGGCCTCCTCACAGACTGCCTTCATCTGTCTGGTACTGAGGTTATCTGGCATATGTAAGAAGAGTAAAGGAAATTTAAAATAAAAACCTTTCAGAATTGGGTCATGCTCAGTTCACATAGAAACACTTAGCCAGCAGAATAACCCCAAAGTTACATTTATCAATATCTTAGACATATACAACTACAGCATTTTTGTCAAAAAGGATATTTCCTCTGGGTTCAATATCTGGATCAATTTCTGTAAAGGCTGATACTTCTTTAGAGTGGAAACACTGCCCACAAAGAGAAGCTTGTGTTTTGCTCTTGTCACAGCAACATTCAGTCTTCTCCAGTCACAAAGTATCTCCGTTCCACCCTGAAAAGACAGTTGTAAACTTAGCTTAAGTTTTACTCCTTTTTGGGGTAATTTACATACAACACCATGGCATATACAGATGCAATGACCTGCACTCATAAGACCAAAATGTTTCTTCTAATTATTTTCTTTCTCATTGTGTGAATGAGTGTGTGGAAGGCATCTTTGCCTATCATCGTGTATCAAATCTCTTGCATTGACCTTGTGTATGAAATTTGATTTAAAAAAAGACCAAATTGTGCTGTGCATTAAACAAACCCTTCTTAAAAAGAAAAATGCCTATTTATTAGGAGAAGTTTGCCTACCCTGCCTTTACTGCTGGAATCATCCTTGGAATTACTCCTGACAAAGGAGATGATGATGACACTCTTGTCTCTGCCTTGGTACTGATCCACCGTGTTCACCTCCACTTCTCCAGAGCCACCAAGACGAGTGTGAAGGACTTTCACCTGGTTTCTGTATGGTGCTATGATGCCAAGCTCTTGTGGGGATAACCCACCCTAGATAAATATATACTTCTTGGTACAATGTGAACTTTCCATGGTAATGTTAAAAGAACTTTGTCATCTAAAAACTGTATATAAATCACAACATTACAAATCAAAGTAATTTTTCTGAGGGGGGGGGGTAACTTATTACATACAAATGTTTTATCTTTATTTGCAAATTATGTGAAAGAAGCAAGAAAGGAAGATTAAGTAAAATATTAACTTGCTTACCCTTTTGTTTCAACCCCACTTTTCTTTAATTTTGATGTAAGATTATGAAACCTGTATATTACTTACCCTAAGAAAACACTTGGCTAATTGGCAAACAATGTCTGCCTCTAAATCATTCTTCACCAATCCCTGAGCATCATAACTTTCTGTAGCTGATATCTGTGAGAAATATATATATATATATATATATATATATATATATATATATATATATATATATATATATATATATATATATATATATATATTGTGAATGAGACTTGACCTATGAAATATCTCTCCATACATGTGAATGAGGTTCTGAGGAGCGTTAACCTTTTACATGGCACTAGATAAATCAATCTACATTATTTGACCTTGAAAAATATATTAAAGTTATAAGTTTACACAAATTCAAATATTCAGAATATTTCTGCTTGTTTAAAAGGTGTCTAATCACAAGAATTTACTTACATTATCTGTATCCAAGAAAAGAACAGGCTGCGGGCTCAATGCACATTCCAGCCAGGCAGGCATCATGCCACTCAGCTAAATGGATTACAAATATAATGGTTACTGTGAAATATCTTATAGCACATATACAGTTTATACACAATTCCAGTTGTTCAGCAAAATAAATGTATAAAATACTGAAATACTTTTAACAAATGTAACATACAAAGAGTCTTAAGAGTATGTTTTAATAAGCATGACAAGAAAGATTTTTATAAGTTTATAAATGGTGTTTCCATTCTCATCCAAATCTTCACTTATCAAAAGCATTAGCTGCAGTTATTTTATAAAACATAATTTTGTTGCATTTTTGACAAAATTTAACCTCTAAGTATTCTTAATTCAACAAGGCACATTCTTATCCACCACTGTTTTAGTTTAAAGTTGTCTTCTACATACCTCTGCTCTCACATTCTCCATGTTGGACAGCTGGAGACGGGCCTCTGCCACGTCCCGAGAGCCACATTTCAATGCTCCCTCATACACCAGCTCATTACTCAGACGCATTATTGAACTACTCAACACAAGGAGAAAACAGTATAAGAGTAATAAGAAGTTCATTACTGAGTCAAACAAAGACATAGCCCATTTTTACCTATAAAATATATATTTTGTACTTTATGACTGAAAGAACTATTTATTCTATTGGTTGGTCACAAGAGATTCCAAACATTCAGCATTCCTCACCTGTTCATTCTGTACTGCAGATTGAGCTCATATGTGGCTCCAGTATTGTCCAACCTCATGAACAAACTCTCATCCATTCCCAAGTCTCTGCAAACAAATTACAGGTTTAAATACTTAAACTGAGGATCACATATACCCTTAAACTACAGATATGCTTAAAGTCCATTTCTCTGGAAATATTATTTTTGTTAACGAAACAATACATATAGTCTGTCACATTAAAATCTACAGATGATTTTAAGTGGATGTATCATGAACTAACTTCAATTTAACCACAACCTGAAGCAATGACTGTTGAGCCTTGACAATGGACACCATCTTACCTTGCTTCTGTACTTTGTACCACAGGTGGCAGCTGTTTAGGATCCCCCACCAGCACAAACTTGGCAGCACAGGACAGGGGTCCAAAGCAGGTGGGTTGGAGGACCTGGGATGCCTCGTCTATGATACAGATGTCAAACCTGCGCTTTGTGAACAACACGTGGTTGGTCCCCAAACAGGTGGTTGCCACAATTTGCTGTAAAGTAATAAGATCAAAGATGAAGATTAAGAAAACTTATCTGTATCATGCTTACTATGAGGTTACATATATGTTTGAAGAAACTAACCATTAAATAATCTACATCAGATTTCAACCAATGCTATGCAATGAAAATAAAAAACATCCTACTCTTAACAAGGAAAAATCTAGGCATCCTAAATACCCGATAATAAAAAATTATTTTCATATAAAGGTTTAATCACCATACCTTAGTTGTGTAAAATTCTGCTAGATCTCCAACAGTTTTGATGTTCTTTGTGAGAGTACTTTCAGAATACGGCAAGATATCTGGATGTATCCTGGACTCTCGGCCAAGTCTCAAAAATTTCAGATCAAGCTTGAAAATAAAATATAATTTAACTAAATAATCAAAAAGTCTGTCATGAAAATAAACACAAAATGATGTTTCACTGATGATCAAATGTTTTATCACTGTTACATTCAAGACTACATCGAAACCTCAACAAACAAAAAAATGAAACAAAGTCAAATCTTTTAAGATTGTTTATCCTGAAGAATGTTTTACCTTTTTCAGTTTCAGCAGTATGTTATCCACAGCAGAATGAGTGTAACTTGTTAGGAGGATAGAAAGTCCCAACTGGTGCAGAATACGAACAAGAGCAACAATTGTGGATGTTTTTCCTGTAATAAAAGAAGTTTCAATAATTCAGCACGCTTAGATTTAACAGTATTGCACAATTCCAATTATTATAGATGGAAAACTGTATGACTTAAAAATCAATTGCAATGAGGTTTTAAGAATGTAATATAAATACCTGTGCCAGGATAGCCTTTCATTAACACATAGTCTTTGCACATTAGGATCTAAAAATAGACAACAAAATTTAATATTGCCATGCTGCTCTTTTTCATCAAAAGCACTTTTAGAACCTGTTAACTTTTGTATGTTTGAAGCATAAAACTTTTACTTATTTATTTCTTCATTTTCTAACAGATGCTCGCTTCAACTATCATTTTTACAAAACTTACCTTCAATATGGCAGTTTTCTGTGGCTTGTTGAGTGATTTGAATATATGTTTCACTGTAAGATAATATTCAATTTTAAAACAACACAAAGGTTGACAAGAAAGATGGCATGAAAAATTTGCTGGTGTAACCTACCATTGCCATGCAAATAATGGTTCACATGCTACATGATTCACTGCTTAGCTGGGGGCAATATTGTACAGCAATATAGATGAATTTTGTTGAACAATATCTTTTACCAAAACTATTACTAAAATATAAACAAAATGCATAAACAAAGTCCTAAAGAAATTGTGAATACCTTTTTCTATTGCTCCTTTAGCTAATGTTAGTTCAAACTCGGGCTTCCTAGCATCAATGATCAGCTCCCTAAGTCTCAAACTACAATAAAAAGGTCAAAGTTAAAATCCCAAAAATTTATGATAAAAGCAATTAAATGATTGTGTCCTGTATTTCTGACCTATCCTGTAAATTTAAAGCCGTGCGTAAAAATTAAAAAAAAATTCTGGATCAATTCAAATTTTATTTACATGAGAAATTATATATATTCATCTTAAACTGTCAAACAAACTCTTGACTTGATTAATAACACCTGAAAAACAAACTCTTACCTGTGTGGATTATCTGACAAAAGTTTGGAAAGATTTGTGTAATTAGATGCCATGGAGTTAAAGGAGTCATTTTTATCCAGTCGGTAAACAGCATCACTGTTAAAATTGGTATTCTGCAGATTCCTGAATAATTAAGAGAAATTCAAAATGGTTATAACCTGTTTTGCAACAAGTGTGATGATTCACAAAATACTATTACTGAAAAAATTTTATTACAAATTTCTATTAGCAGGACAAGAAAGACAAATAAAAATTTATACCAACTGTAATAAAGACATTTTCAATATATTCTATAACACATCTAAGGGAAATGGTAAAAGCACAACTACCACACTGTCTCACCTAACACAATGTGATATTATTAAAACAATACCTGTCAAGTATCACAGTGATCTCTGTTTGTGTCACCTGGACCACAGAGGCAGTGCAGAGGGCAATGTGTCCACTCACACAATGTGACATTATTAAAACAATACCTGTCAAGTATCACAGTGATCTCTGTCTGTGTCACCTGGACCACAGAGGCAGTGCAGAGAGCAATGTGTCCACTAACACAATGTGATATTATTAAAACACTACCTGTCAAGTATCACAGGGATCTCTGTCTGTGTCACCTGGACCACAGAGGCAGTGCAGAG